TTTGATTAGAAATATTTACACTTCTATCTGTTCCACAGTTCATTTCGGTTTTTAAGAGTGCTATTAAAATTATGAAGCAAATGGCATAGACGCAATACTAAACAGAACTAGTTTTAAAATAAAACAAAAAAGGCTAATGCAAAAGAAAGCAAATGAAATATTTATCTTAAAATAGTAACTGAAAAAAAAAAGAACCATTTCAAGTTAGCAATACAGAATGGTATTGTTTCATTTATTATAATAACACATTTGTTCTACGAAACTGTTACTCAATGAAAGTTTAAAATAATGAAAATCCTGGTAAGTATGGTATGGATTCGGTCAATAATCTACAACTAAGTCATTTTTGCATCGGAAAAAGTCATTTGCTTAAAAACCATCCCCAGTAGAAATCAATAATAATAAGAAACATAGCCAGTATCAATGAGATCTTAGTAACTAAGATGAGACGAGAAGAACCATGATAGCATAAAATATTTCACCATCTCTGAGCATTATGTAATTCCAAATATTTCTTGAGACAGGAAGAATCCCAAAATCCTTGGACTTCTCAGATTTTCATTGCCATACCTTATGTAGTCCTATATACCGACCATCTAAGAGAGTACCTATGCCAAGTTGTTTTGCCGAACTGCTCAATTGCGTTCATAGAAGCATGAGGTATACGTTGCAAAAAAAAAAAAAAAAAAACATAACGCATATTTGCATTCGAACAATTCAATGGATTTTGCCTTGTTTTATATTTTGAATTTTGCTCCAAATGTATTCATTGTCTCTATTAGGCCATTTTATTTGCCCACTTTATTAACAACTATAACTTTTGCCCTTCGCTAGCCATCGCTTTTAGTACTATCAATTTTTTGATAATTGATTGAATTTGCATCTTGTAACATGTATAGAGAGTGTTAAGCTGTAATCTTTTAAATTTAAATGGTTAAAAAATTGGTTTCATTATTTCTTATATAAAAAGTTGTTGTTAAAATTCTGGGTAATGTGAAAAGGAGAAAATTGTTAATCTCTGAAACTAGACGATCCATTGGAATAATAGATAATGATTTCAGGTCATTAAAACCAAATGATTTTGAATTCTTACTTCAGAGCTGCATAAAAAGAATTGCAGAATAAGTTCTAACTTATTTTTTGCTATTACTGACGTTTTCATATACTTAAAAAATTTTCTTTTTTTTTTACTGGAAAAAACAATGAAAAAATGGGAATAATTCTTATAAGTATCAAAGTTTACCGTAGTATAGTACACATGTCAATAAAAAATATTTCCAATATTTTTCCTTCCATTTCAACATGATAGATAGATAGCTAACGAATTCACTGATTAGCTTGATCGAGGCAAGAAAGTATGATTATAATCTAACACTGATGTCAATAAAACTATAGGTTAAAACGAAAGTCATGAAAACCACAAATGTGAAAAAGTATCACATTCGATTGGAATAAAAGAATAAAGCAAAAGGAAATATAAAAAGATTGTAATCCAGGATTTATTCATTTCAGTGTGGATGCTAATAGATTAGATGAATAACTAACTGCTCATCTGATACAATCACATTTTCAGCTATTCATACCCTTTTTTTTACTATAAAAATTTCAATTTTGGAAAAACTCTCTTCATCTCAGTCAATAACGTTCAAAGAACAATTACATCTATCATAGATAATTTTTCAAAATTAGCGTTGCTTGTTATAGTGATAGTAGTAGAGCAGCGGTGCACCTTCTTACTTTGGAATATCATTAGGAAAAGCTTACAAATTGACACACATATAAATATGAAATAATTCCATTTGGCATTGCATACCACTGCTTTCTTCACATCATTCTGTATTAATTAACAATCTCAAATGATACTATCGTATAACTTTTCATATATTAATGTATTATTTGTTTTATTTCCCTTTAAAAAAATTCAATAAAAAGTTTAAAGTTATGGACAAGAGAAAGTCATACGCGCTATCACACTAGGATTATTTGTCACTATTAAAAAATGAATTAAGACTTAACGTCGAGAATAATCAAAATTTTTTCAATGAGGATTTCAAAGTTTTGTGAGTGAAAAAGGTGAAAGATAGGATTTTAGGGCATTTGGCTGAATGAATGAATAAATAATTGACTCGATATCACTTAAAATTATTTTTATCACAGAAAAAAATTTGCTCCAAATCAAATCAAAAAATGAACAAAATGAAAATTGCTTTTGAGAGAAATCAGAAAACAATAAGTAATATAAAGGAAATTAATCTGCTTGAATAATGAGATCAGAGTAGAACCCCTATGACTGATGAATATTGTTTGGAAAGTATTGCCATTTCTCTTTCCCACTTCTAACAATTCCACTTCAATGAGATCGAATAACTTCTGCACTCACATTTCATTTTTGCAACCAGTAAGTTCGTTATCTTTCATGATTAGATAACAAGAAATATGATTCAAATAACCAAATAAGGTAAATTTTTTTTGAAAGAAAAAATTTTCAAAGCAACTAATTTCACTTTGCAGTTTTGATATCGAAGTTTTTTTTTTTTAGTTTAAACCGAAATAGTCATTAAAACTTTACACAAAAAGCAACGATTATTGATAAATTAATTGAACGTAAGATCGTAACAAATATCATCCGAAAATTTCATTCCATTTTGGGAAGAAAAAATTTATTAAATTTACTGATCAGAATATTTTGTATTAATAAAATAGAAAAGAATCGGTTTTTCGGCTTTTGCAAATATGCAGTAAAAAAATACTTCGCTCCTTATTATTCCAGTTTGTTTCAGTATTAAGATTGTCATCAGAAAAAAAATAAAATGATGAGGAAGAAGAAGATGATAGATTTATGGTTATTAAGCCTTATTGCGACAAATTCTGGGGAAATTTTATCATCATAATCAGATAAGCCATATCTTAGAACTTTGCAATAAGTATTCAGTCATTACTAATTAATACCACATTTTATCACGATGACAAAAGAAGCAATAAATACAAAAACTAATGAAAGAGAAATGTTGACCAGAGTGAAGGAATAAAAATGAAAATCAAGAACTAGAAAGGAGGAGAAGCAGGAAATAGAAATGAAAATAAAGATTTGTCATTTACAACATTAGTTAATTCCTCTACACATGGAGAGAAAACTTCTGTAGAGAGAGATAATGATAGTGCAAGTTGTGGCAAAATGAAAATTGAAAGCGTTTTTCAATCGATCATTTCTCCACACATTGTCTCAAGTAAGGAATTCTTCCATATTGCGAAGTGCAGGTAATTATGGATTGTCTAGAAATATTATCGGTTTGTTAGAAATGAAGATTTTACCGAAAAGCAAACTTATTGCTGAAGTTTATCCTTCCAAAATGAAAATTGTTTTAGTTGTAATAAAATCCCTGATAGGAAAGGAGGAAAAGAAAAGTCATTTCAACTTCAGATGATGAAATTGATTTTAATGCCAAACTGATGCAACCGATGAATTGACTTTTATGTCGAACTAATGGAAGCGCTATATCGAAATATCATACGGTATTAACTTAAAATATAACTTCCCATCAACTACATTGACCAGTTATAAAAATTTCATCTTATAAAGTGTCGATGTATTCTAATCTTCGTATTAAAAGTGTGATATTTCGAAAAAAAAAAATAAATAAAAACAAAATAAAACAAAACATTAACCATAAGCAGGCAAAGTGAAAATTTTTAAAAAATAATTGAGAATTTAGGGATCTGATCAATTCGAACAAGAAGCTTTAGCAAGGTATATGGACATTTAAAAAGGTCCTTATAGAATTCATAAGATGACCGATCAGGGAAAATCATGCAAAAAACAAAACAAATCTTGGTAGATTCAATTAATAACCCCCGAATATTATAATCATCTATACTTATTATCTTTTTCTGCACTGTCAGTCACAATGTTTAAAATTTAGAAATGACCGATGTTTATTTCTCCTTAACAAGCAATCAACGCCTTCAGTTTTATTAACACGTTAGCAAATGTTGAATACAACCAGTTAGCTTCCTGATCAACTCTACAAATGCAGTATTGGAGTTTTATTGCTGTCAAACTCAATCAAATGGATGTTTCAACAAATGAGATATAATACCGAATGAACCGCAGCTGCAATAGGAGTTGTGTTTATCACTGACTCAGAGCATGAAATCTTGAACTACACCTGGAATGGAACTGGTCGATGATAATGTCATTTCATGAAGTATTATATGCACGAGCTGAACTTTTCCAAAGGTCGGGAAGTCCTAACAGCCATATAAATACGGACGTAAAACCATTTGATTTTTACTTTAATGGTAATTGCGACCTCAAACCTCCACATATCTCGATTACTTGATCTTTAAGCTTCCTAGACTTATTTTGTCAACATGGACTATTTCAAATTTGATATAAGTTCTTTTTTTTTTTTCAATATACAATAGAACTATATAGTCAAATAAACAATAAAAATACAGAAAATACAAAAGATCGAATCAATTCATAGGGAAGACCACTGCAGATTAAAATAATTTAGAGATAAATAAGACAAAAAAAAAAAAGTTACACTTATCTGATCGGTACAAACACAAAACTCACATCAATGAAATATCTGGAATATTGTATTTCCAAGAAATCGAATCAGATTGCACCAGTATAGTGCAAAAGTAGCAGCTCTAGATATTAATGAAGCAAGATGAGATATATTTTTGGAAATTTGCACGACATGGCAATACCACAACATACTAGCGACAATTTCTCATGATTAATGATGGAGGTTTTGTCAAGGACTCAAATAGAGAATCACCAAAGTCCGGTGATATAAAAATTCTCTTGCAGAGGCTCTCTGCAAAACCATATTGTAATAGACTACTGAGAGATGATCTGCGTTGGATAAATCCACTTTCCTGATGAACTTGCTAAGAATTTAATTCTATCAGGAAATTCAACACGAAACCAACTTATTACATAAATAAATATAACCAAGGATGATTTCATGAAATTAACAGTTTCATTGGTGTCAAAAGTCGATATGTTTTCTAAACAGTAACTTTATTGGAGTATCTTTTGGTTTGTTTCGACACCTAGTTTTTTCAATAAATTTCATCGAATAATCTCTGCCCATTAGTTCATTGTTACAGAAGATGTCCAAATCGTTATACCGACTTATATCACCAAATAAAGTACTAGCCAAATATCGCTTGATCGTGTTCACGGTTGCCATCTCTACTACAGAAAATTTATATATTTCATTAGAAAAAATAAAGCTTGCTTGAGTACTTTGTTTTCCATCATTCTTAACTTAAATAGCAATAGGTATTTTTTTCTTCAAATATTAGAGTTTTACACAAGAAATGAGCATGTTTAAAGTTTAAATTTAAAGTACTATGACTCGTTAACATAGCCTTCTACAGCATTTGAATAATCCTTCTGGTACTTGATAAGAGAAGACGAGTTGTTGAAATTTACTAAAAAATTTTCCTTTGTTTTAATAATCCGTAAGATGATGTTCGGGTGAAAAACCCACATATATTTTTCTTCAACAAGAAACCTACCGGATAGCCTTAAGTAAGGCATTTCAATATCGGAGAATTTGGAAAGCTTATCAGTGCAAAGTTCCACAGCAACTTGCTCATCACTGCGATGATGCTTGCCCATCAAATCACCAGAACATTCTCTTGTTTCCGAACTACTATCAACCTGAAGGACCAACAAAATAGAAAGTCCAAAAATAATAAAATATCAACTTACTTCAAAATAACGATGGAAGAAACTACTTTACTATAAAATTATAATGAAATTATTTCTTCCTGAATTATTAAACTGTTAGAAAGCTCGAGATTTTTCTCAATGCATCAATTTACAAAAGACAGAAATTACCGTATTTTCATCAATTTCTAACTTTTCAGGAGATCCATTTTCACCCGGTTCTATTTTTACTGTTCTTAAAAAAGCATTCTGATTTTCTTCTTCTCGTATTTGCACACCAGGTACAAGCTTATAAACCAACTCCTGCATCGTACGGTCAAAGCTTACATAATGGGACGGGTGACTCTAAACAAAAGCTGATTCATCATGAAAAGTTTGTTATAACAAAATGAACATTACATAAACAACAATAATGCTAACTTTTGAGCCTATAACTAGCATAGAGATTCAATACTGATGAAACTTAGTTTGTCACAGGAAATCAAACACATATTTGTGTATACTGTGATCTAAATTCATTTCACAAAGAAATTATATATCTGATTAGAATTAAAAAACCCTGAAACACAAGAAAGTGATATTAGTTGGATCTAATTTAAAATGAAAACCTTTAACCAGTTAACAATTACATGCCTGATGGATGAGATTACTACATTTCGGGCAACAGTTATTGACATTCTCAAAATGCTTCAATAGACACGACTTACAAAAGGTATGTAAACAGTCAGTAACTGTTGTTGCTTCTATGAAGTACCTGAAAAGACCTTATTATCCAAAGCCCATATATGACCCACACCATTAAAAACAAGAAACGAAAAAATGTAAATTAATTGAAGTACCAAACAGTTCACTACTACCAGCAACAAACTAACACTTTTCACTTCAAGGATAAAACCCAAGAATTTAAAAAGAAATGTTACAAAAACTAACCCTTTACACAAGGGACATGTTATATGTGGATTAAGCGTTTTTAGCAATATTTTGTACTCGTCACCAATTAATGTTGGCTTTCGACTCATTTTAAATATTGCCTACTGGAAACTTCCAGCATCCATTCAAAACGGCCTTAAAATGAAACACCTTCTTGCAACTCTAAAAAATGCAAAGAATACCAATCACGCAATATTCATTCTGCAGTGGGAAATAAAGTGTGCATACTTCCAAGAAAAGAAACATGGAAAAAAAAGCAAAAATTGGGAAGTATGCAAAATATTCTTCAGGATTACAAAGCTCGCTCTATTGTGATTACAAATATGAAGTCGTGTAAACAAGGAAAAAATTTCAATTGTCAGAGTTCCTGTAAATATGCTAGCATACTGTGTTCTTCACAGCTTCTTGACAAACGACACATTAAGTTGAAATCTCAAATTTCATCATGCTTACAGTCCGTATACAGTTAAATTCTGAAGTAAATTTATGCTATTGCTACGATAAACAGAAACTGCATATGTTCCATCAGAAAGGAAAGCATTTTGAAATTAACATGTTTGGTCTAGTTAGTACAAATAGTTGTCCTGAACTATGGAAAAAGATCAATGGCAAAAGTAAAGTGGATTTCTATTAATGAAAATACAAAAATGAATTAAAAAGGAATTCATATAAAAATAAGATCAACCTAGATGTGAAATCACATTATTCATAGAACCGTTAATTGATGAATAAACAAATTACAACAATTACTTGCGCAAACGATGTGACTTATAATTACATCACGCATTACCCTAAATCACATTTTGGTCTCTCTAAAAGTAAACATTGGCATTTTTAAGGACTTTACTTTTATACAGCAGAGTTTTGGTTACAAGTGAATGTACCTGCACTGACCGAAGGGCAACAAAACAATAAAACCTGTTAGCAAATAATTTAGATAGTAATATTTCGAAAAATACGTTGCATAAATTTTTTTTTTTTACGAATCTCACAGCCGTATGTTATCTTAGCGAAGCATTTCACCAGATTTATTAGTCGGATTTGATACTTTAGGTTGTGGAACTTGCTGAGGCTTCCCCAAACTTCCAAACTGCTGCCCGTTTCCTCTAAACAAAAAAGATTAATTCGAACGACCAGTAATGTTTCATAGAATTAAAATCCATTATTACACACAAATTTTTTATAAGAAATCAACATTCATTAATTCAAATAAATAGAAATAAAACGTTTAAGTGACTGAAAGTCTTCTTGCATCATTTACCTGGCTTCTTTTTCATCTTTCTCTCGCTGTTCGTGAGCAAGATATGCCGTGTTTGATAGAAATGCTAACAGTCCTTTATGACATCGATTTGCATAATGACCCTTTTCGCCGCACTAAAAATTATAGAAAGTAAATAAACAAAAGCATCAACATGCTTAATCTTACTTCACAGACTCTGTATAGGCTGCACAACTAGCTGTTTTGTCAAGTAAGATTAAGCAGTTTACTACATTATCACCATTTACTTCTTTCGACCAAACTTCATTCACTTGAGACAAAGTTAAAACAACACATTTTAAAAAAATGCATAAATATGTTCAAAATGAACGACAAAAAGTTGTTGGATAAAAATTAATTTTCCTGAAAATCCAAAAAGTTGGATAAAAAAATTAATTTTCCTGAAAAAAAGATTGAATAGAAATACAACGAGTTCAATAAGAAAAAAAATGACTGAGATGTTTAGTGAAATATATAAGTTCTAAGCTAAATTTTGAATTTTAAATACCTTATAGCAGGTTACATCAGAAAGCGCTTTTTTCTCGGAAAGAGCTACCAATTCTTGTGATATCTGTGCATTCACTTTCGATGAATCTAACAATGGTAATTGAGTTTGAGTAGGTAAATGAGGGCAGTATGTCGCCTGGAAATGCTTGTTTATAGTAAATAATTAACTGAATAACAAAAATTAATGACACATGATTCATATGTTATCGTAGCACTTTTAATGTGACTATAAAAGAAAGCATATCCTAAATCATTTACCAATAGAAAATCAGTATCAAAATAAAACATAAATTAAAGATCGAAATTGAGAATCATATTTGATTAAAACCTTATGGCCTCTTTCATGACAATTGTGGCATACTATTCCAATATTATATTGTCCTCGTGCTCGAAGAATTTGAGTTGTGTCCACAGGTGGGATGTTGAAAGATGGATGTGCATATTTGCAATCCCCACCATCCATACAAAAGCCAGCCAAATAGTTAGGACAAAGAACACGCCTACGATGTCGATGTTTACAAAAAGGGCCTAAAATGACGTTAATAAAGCAATATTCCTTGTGTTCTTAAACTATCTTCCACAAAAGGCATATTTCAGAAAAAAAAACATTACCATGCCGACAGAATCCACGATCATACCATGGACAATCCTTGATTTTACTTTCGGGATCAATATGTCGAAAAGGACATTCACGATTACTACAAGCCACTGCAAATCAAAGGCAAGAATAGGTCATAAAAAAATAATAATATTGTTTAGACACTTCTCCCTGAACAACTTCTCTTATTTCGAAAAAACTTATTTATTGTTAGTTGACTTTTATCAAAAAGAGAATATATTAGCAAAAAATATTCGCGACAAAAGAACGAAACCTTACTGTATTTTGAGAAAAAGAAACATTCCGGCATTTTACTTAAATCGTATTCGTGCAAAAATTCGCATTGATCACCTTTTTTACATAACCCACGCAACCAGTGTTTACATACTACAGCCTAAAAGAACATCTCTTTTAAACAAACAAGTAAAATAATGCAAGCAGGTTGGATGAGACTGCAAACTAGAAAATATTAAAAGAAAATAACTTCAAAAGAAAAATCTATTTTCAATATGATAATAAAATGCAGATATCATGCCTTATCTCCAACAATATGCCTCAGTGGGCAAACAGCTCCCATTGTACATGTACCTTGCTCATTACGTATACATACACCACGGCCACTTTTGTCCATTCCCGAAAATGGGGCCTGAAAATCTTCAGCCTAATGAACGTGATAAGCGTCACTTACAACATTAAATGGATATAAACCTTGAATAAAGACTGTAAAGACTCGTTGAAAAGAAAGCAGTCTTTACTTCATTTACCCAGTCATTCCTACATATATTCGGGCAAAAAATGAACCTCTCTCGCTCCACGCTGCTGTATCAACATTTCCTCCACATCCAGTAAGGCGCATGATACCCCTGACATGTAATCTTCCATTGTAAGCGGAGTACTACCGAACAGTGAATAATGATGATATGGTGTAGCTGTTATTGCTGCCATTTTATGCTCCTCTAATTTTAAATGGTCTATAAAAACATATATAATATTATGTGATTTTGTTCTCCTTGATCCTTGCTTTATAGAAATCATTACATTACAGAAAAGTTCAAGTAAGCACAACACAAGTTACATTCAGTACTAAAAAGATCCATTATTTTGCTATCTTATACGAATATACGAACTATAAAATATGGCTAAATGATTTTGACGTTTCTTCTTTTTTCAGCCCCCAAATTCTCTTACTACGTAAACCTTTCCTCTGGTCAATTCATTAGAGATTTTATTTCCATTCTTTGGTTATTGTCATAACTCGGTTGTCTTCTTTGCATATGTGACAGAATATAACAGTTACATATGTATTGGCAAGATGATTTTCAAACTTCTAGACAACGGTAAACGCGAAGTTCGAAGTCAATTATTTCCACATGCTATACCACAGGCAGTGCAAGATATGCTACGTTGCTAATGACACTTGGACTGTTAATAGGTGAAATAGTGGGAAAAGAACGGAAACGTAACGAACTCCACTTAAACAACATTCCAGTAGCTTCTTTAAACAGATCCCACATGTCATATTATGAAAAGCTTTCTGTCCCGTTCGTGACAGCTTAGGTCCAAAAACAGTACCACAACAACTTTGTATTTCTTTTGCGATTACCCTCCATCATCTCAAACCCCTTGTTCAGAATTACACTACAAAGAACAATTTCAGACGTGATTAAATCTGATACAAGATTTAGAGTATTCCCGGGACTTGTTTATTTGGAGAGGATCCCTTTCAAAATTGTCGCTTTCTGTGCAAGAGTTTATGCAATTTTGTCTTTCAGATTATTTCTACCATATTTTCAAAAAGCTTCCAAAACGATGCAGCGATTCCACAAAACTTCCCTGCATTTACAGATGCTTGACAATTACCAAATCACAAATAAGAACTCATATTCAAAAAATTAAAAATTAGCATAAAAACAATGCTAATAATGATTCAATATATAATACCAAAAAAAAAAAAAAAAAAATGCACTCATAGCTAAATAAACAAACGACATTTGATCTGGTAAAGAAAACTCCGCGAGCAGGACGCCAGTTACATAAAAAGTGAGATTCATTCACAAATAGCAAAAATGTGAACCAAGTACAGAGAATAGGAAAACCATTGGAGCTACAAAATTTTATCGGTTCTTTCAACGACCAAGTTTTTGTTTCTGAATTTATGAACATGAAATAATTACAGTCACTCGGAAATAAACATATACATAAATATATATCATTCGTTGCAGTTTATATATACAACTCAAAAAAGTCAAAATCACCTTCCTGAGATAAAACGTCTGCTTAAGTGGCACTGAGTTTTTACATTACAGACATCCCAACAAAAAACATCATCAAAAATAAAAAATTCTACATATTGAGAAACACTTCTAAAAGATCAAAAAAGTCATAATGAGTATCATTAATAGCAATAGGCTCTCAAAATGAATCCATAAATAAGTTTTTGAAAGTGAAGAGACCTCAGAAGTAAAGAAAAAGTCCAATTTATGACTCCAAATTTTTGAAGAGAAAAAAAAAATTTTTAAAACTAACTTTTAAAAGTATAAATACAATTATTTCAAAATGCTCACAAAATTTAGTTGTGGAAGGTTTTATTATCTGGCTAAATTTTACTTTAAATGTTCAAAATTATTCTACGCCTTTTGCCCATGCACACGAAAACGATACAAGCATGTGTAATCTGAATCCCAGTTTGACTGCACCACCAGTTCAACTATTGATACCGGAGTGTTCAGCTCGTTCTGCAAAAGTGTGCTTGAATGAGGCTGAAAAATCTGAATATCTTATCATAAGAGAAAATTTTCCTTTATTTGTTGAACACAACCAGTTTCCGCAACCTAAATATGACAGACGATTTGTCTACTTGGCGTAAATGTTTATGAAACAAAGACTTCTCTACTGTAACCCTCTCAATCAAAAAGTACTGTAAACGGTTTAAAACATCAAACCTGAGCATGAAATGTCTGCAAGGCTCTTCCCTTAATGTCATATTCATATTGTCCAATTAAGGACTTTGATTTGAGATCATCAACTGCTTCGTAAGACTGAAAAATGAAGAAAAAATTCCACACGAATTTTGAATGAAGTCGAGGTTCATTCATGGCAGCATCCTTAAAAATCTTAGTATGCTATAACAAAATTTAACATAGTTTCTTATTCTAATTCCAATTAAAATAATGAAAAACATACGTATACTTGGAAAAGTTTTGGTGCACTTCTCAAAACTCCATCGGGATGCAATGTTGAATGTAAATGTTCGTAGCTAACTTCTGTAACATAAATGGGATGCGACAACTTTATTGTTAAATATCCTTTACCACGAAAGGCCCAGCATTCACCAGCTGCTAGAGGACGATGCTAAAATAAATTTACAATCATTAAATATATCCAAAGTTAAAAAATTAAAATTCTTTGTGGAAATAGAATACCATCCATCTTCCCAGAAATATGCAAGAATTACTTGAATAACTGCTCTTGGTGAGTACGAAGAGTACCACAGAGGAATCCCAAAAACTGATTCCAGTCGTGAATTTTCTTTGTATGGCTTCGTACATCGCGTACTTACAACAGATGCCCCTGTAGAAACACATTTTCAGAAAGAAAAAAGAACAAATTATACCAATTTATTTTATAGTAAGAGATAGCAACACATAAGGAAATTTCTCCACTATAGAAATCACTTAAAAAATATTTTTTATTATCTAAATTTTCTCCATTAACTCACACACGTAAAACTTGAAATGGACACAACATATTACCTGAACTTTCGAGCGCATAATCTACTTTACCCGTCTTATCCGCATCATATGTGTCCAGTGCATCAGTTATCATCTTTTTAATTATCACAAAATCTGACTCCGACAATCCGAGAACAGAATTTAATTCAGTATCCTGTAAAAAACAAACTTTCACCAATAATTTCAAAAATGAAATTTCAAAGCGACAATATGTTCGTAGTACGCTGTTAATTCGATATTTTCTTGCTCTACCATAGACTGAATTCATTCAGTAGTTTTTCATTCCGGAGATCATACCTCCACTTTTGTATGTTATTAGCCAATCTATTCTTTTTTTGCTTCCTAATGAACTCAAATTCAGTTCAAACTTACCGAAACTGTACCACTTTTTTTAGCTATATGACTTGCAAAGAGAGTGACTACTCGATTCTCTACTGCTTTCATAATTTCCAAACGAAATGCTTCTCGTTCTTCATGGGACGCCTTTTCGAAACGACTCAAACTAAATGAAAGTTCCTGAAAGTGTATGATTTACGCGAATATATTAGAATACATATACAGATAATAATGTATAAGCAAAAGAAAATCATGGAGCAGAAGAAAAAAAAAAAAAAAACTGAACTCAACAATAATGAATAAACAAATAAATAAACTACTCATACTTAGATACCCCAGTGACATAAGTACTACCAATATTATTAAGGTCATCTTTAATTTTCTTATTAGTTTAATTTTGAGTGTGTTCAAATCACCACTCTGCTTTGTATCGCAAGATATTATTGAATGAACGAATTATGTAATTCTGACTTTCTTTTCACCACAAAGCTAAATAGGACAAGATTATTTAAAATAAATTTTAGTATGCTGGAATCATATCAATACAAATGTGTAAGAAAAAAAAAAATTAAGCGAATGTGTAGAATAACTAATTAACATTGTTGATATTTGATACAGTGAGATACAATGACAAATATAATAGTCCAGTTAAAGATCAAGCTCTTCGCAGATTTTAATATAGTAAGATATAAGCGACTAGCAGAACTATTAATAAAAGATAAACTGCAAATCTAAAACCAGAATTTCAACTGAAAATCAAACTGAAAAAATACTTTATCAAACTGAGCGCGCAAATTCCGAACTGCAGATGAAAGATCCGATAGTTCCTGAAACATGAAACCAGAAAATGTATAATAAAGGTATTTTAACCTTCCTGCAAAGAATGCCAGGAGTATGCCATCGTTTGACATTATTTCAAAAAATAATTGTTTTATTTTTCTGCATCAATCAGATAATATTATATACATGCCAAATGGAAAATGGTAGATAATTCAATTTGTTGAAAACACAATATACAAAAAAAAAAATTACACTAACGTTAGACAAAGCTGACCGCCCCGAATCGGATTGCTGTGAACTACGAATGATTTTTTGGGCAATTTCATTCTCGATTTTCTCAGATAGAATGTCCAATCGTTTCATTAATCGCCTTTCAACGACAAGTAAATGCTGAAATAAAGGCTGGAGAATAAAAATTTCGACCTCAGTCGAAAAAAGTTTCATGCTAATGTCTAATTAGATAAGCAAATATTCTTTGCAAGACAAAAACTTCACACAGATCTACATTTTGAAATAATTATTAGAAAACTAAAATTTCTTGAAATCGACATAAAACCGATGCTTATTGTTAGTTAGTAACGCATTCAAATTAAATATCATAATCAATACCTACGAATACTCAAGCTTATTAGAATTCATAAACAAAAAAAGGAAACAAAATATGAATGATTAAATTAAATAGAAATGTAATCAAATTAAACTGAAGTAAAATTTACTCTTTCCAATTCTTCATCGTCTGATTTTCTCAAATTAGTTACATAGTTTAGGGGATCTTGATTATTTCTATGCTGCAACAATTGATCTTCGACTAATGATGATTCTTTTAGTCTGAAATTCACATTTTTATTGAAAGTTATGAAGTTGAAACAGTGAAAAACAAAGGATCTAACTGATTACATAGAACAATCTTTGTTAATACTTATAATGTTTCCAGAACATATGCCAAAACATACTGATTTGGTGATACGTGCAAATTTGATTTTATTTTTTAAATATTGATTCATTTTCTCGAGAATTATTGAAGCAAAAAATCATATTAAATTTCAGATGAGCAAAAAATACACACTGCTTATCTGTAAGCATCAGAGAAGAGCCTCGTCCGATTAATCTTAATGCTTTATGTATGTTCTTGTAACGATCTTCTTCTACTTGTCGTTCTCGGCGTAATTGCAACACTTTCAATTCCAACAGTTCCTGCAATTTGAATCTTTAAAATACAACATTAACTTACATCATAATGTTTTCGTTTTTTTCAAAATTAACATGCTTCAGCTTCAAAAGATACCTTTTCATGTCGTAAATGTTCCAAAGTCCACTCAGCTTGCTGGTCATTGGAGCCTTCTGAACTAATTACGCCTTCCTGTAAGAAAATCCTTTAAACATAAAACTTTCAATCCAAAAGAAAATAAAGTTGTGGGGAAGTGAATTAGATATGAAATCATGGTTGTTCAGACTTAAATTTGATTTAGTTTTCAAAAATTAGAGCAAAAATTTAATAGAAAACCAAAAAAAAGTCAAAAGACCATGATATAATAAAGAAAGCTGACCGTTTTTTGATTTGAAAATGGCATGAACTGAGCAATTATTGAAATGAAGGATGATGGTAACGTCAACAAAATTTGTGTCCCAGAGCTTATCAATTTCCATATAAATAAGACCATGGTTCCAATGTTATCAAAAATACAACCAACTAAAAAAGAAAAATGATGCATATGAGTTGCCTTTTAAGGAAATAAACATTCCAACGATAAAGAATCAGAAGTTAGTTGTAATTAAGATGCAATTGCAGTATATCAAATCATATAGAAAGGAGTTCCGAACTGAATGAAGTTCCTTAAAGCGAAATCAGTCATTTTGAGTGTGTTTTTCCCAGTAAACCAGTCAGCAATTGTTCCCATAATATCAAAATTCCATAACCGAAATGATACAGACTTTGAGAAACTAGGCATAAAAATAGCCTTGTCTTTTCCTATTTTCATGAATTTCTTTACAAAAAAGGTCCAATGAGAATTTAAAAAATCACTAATTAATTTCAACAAATTTTTTATGGACTGAAGAGGAAATACATAAACAAAAATAACTTTGAATCCATCCCGAAACAACAGACATCTGTTGGATGATGCCACACAGACTAGAACCTAATATACTGATACTTTCAAAGAAATGAATTATTGCTGATTCACCTGAAATAGATTTTATAAAATACTAAAAAATAAGTAATGTATAATTCAAGTGAAGAAATCTGAATATGAAAGAATTTTGTAGGTTAAAAGCAAAATTTGCATACCAAAACTGTATAACTCCGTCGGAATTCTACATAAAAAATAACTGCATATATTAGTCACTGCTTTCGTACCCACTGACTGACCTGAAAAAAGAATTTCATTCGTTTAAAGATGACATTTAGAAGAATTCCAGCTAAGTGAAAGATTTTTAAAGTAATATCTGAAGTCTGTCTAATACTAAACTGAATAGTTGTGTAATAGTGAATGAATGAGAGATACCAATCAAACATTTAGACCAAATATCCCTAGCGAGACATTACATTACAACGACCAAAAATGAAGAAAAGATTGAAAGACGGATCTGAATTGAGAGAAAAAGGTCGTAGATTCGAAAAGAAAAAAAAAGATCCAACCAGCCACAATCACATATTTCGGTAATTGAAGAACTTGTTCCAGTGACCTCTCTGAATGTATTATCGCGCCACATAGTTTTGCAGGATATAAGAAGAGATCATACAAGAAACGGAAAATAACAAACAGCAAATACAAAGCATTTTCAAGCACCAAATTTAGACCACGTTCTACTTTTTGCTTCCATCCTGTTATTAGAATATATAACATACATCAATAAAACTTATGGTTTGTGACCAAGTTCTAGAATTCTTAAATATTGAAACATGTTAGTGTCATAACTATATTTCGGTAAAAGTTGGATTTCATAAACCTTTGAAATCAAAATTACCATCGAAAAAACTTTGTTGAATTTTGCCAAATAGTTCCATCCCACCTACCATTAAATCATCCCCGCTATCATGTCCTAAAATAACATTGCGCATGAGATATGCAAAAATCAAAAAAAAAAAAATTACTGATAATCTAAGTTTTTCAATTTGAGATTTCGAAACCAGTTAAAGATTTCTATAAGATCTGATTGTCACGGACATAATAAAGTCAAAATGATTTGCTGTCGAAAAAATTATGAATTTTGCCACAATTTTTCATTAATACATAAAAACAATTTCTTTAAAGAAACAAATCTGAAACTGCACTTACGTTTATGAAACATAATGAGCAACAAAAGAAAGACAAGCAAAGGAAATAACCACTTCCAGAATACAGTAGAGTACTTCACAGAACCACGAGTTGGAAAAAGCTGACTAAAAAAGGCATCGTCAAAATTAAGAAACCGATAAAATTCAACAATAATTGCTGAGAGTGTAACCGAAAAAAAAAGTGAGAATTAAATAACGGGATATACCTTTTGTGAACCATTTTTTGTCGACTTTTGGCAGCTGTAAATTCGAGATTAGCGGTTAATTTTTTCCTTTTAACCTGTCTTACTTCTTCGTAACCAACCAGCAGTGCGGCTCTTAGTCCAAACCTATAGAAAAATCACATTTGACCAAATAGTTTAAATGAAATTCTAATTCGCCTTTTTCTTAGTCTTCTTTTATATAATAGAAGATAACAGAAAATGAAGAATTTATTAAAACTGAAAAGTACGAAGATCAGATAAAAGTGTCGACTTTCAGCATGCTATATCTTGTGACAACACTTTCAAATACTAATAAGCAAAAGTTACAAAAATAGTTTCGAGATCATGCAAAATCTCTACCAACAGTACCACTACGTATGAATAAAATAATTTGAGGAATTGGAATTGGAGAGACTGGACTAAAACTCCGCTTTCTAAAATAGTGAACATTCATTCCATCGTCTGAATATGGTTGTGTAACTCTATCCTGCTCTTTAAATGTGAGATGACATGCTCCAGATTGTTGAAAAAAATAATTACACATTAGCCAATGCATAAGCTACACGCTCTCGAACATTCTCGGCGATATAGAATGGTAATGAATGCACAGAAACCAGGAAAAAAATGAAACCAGTAGCGCACGAATACAAAAGATCAATCAAAAAACGGAAGATTTGAAAGTGTAAATAATGTTCAAGTTGCGCTGATGAACTCCCGGCAGTTTGCTGCTGCAAGGATCTAAAATCAAAGAAAAGTTCTACCTTAATTCTACATATTTGCCAATTTTGCAACAAAAGAAAAAAATAGTTTTAATACTGAAAGCATAAGTTCTTTATGAAAGGGATATATAAATTTGCATAACGTGAACTTCAAGCATAAAAAACAATTTAAAACTCATGTCTTCAAATCAAACCAAATGAAGGACATAAAAGACAACTTACTGCTGCAATCGAACTGAACCGAGAGATTGACCAAAAATGCAAGAGAACGCCATTAACGGTAGGGAGACTAATTTTGTTATTGGAAGGAAAACGATGATAAAACATGATGTGACAATTTCAGACAAGAAGCTAGCAAAACGATTAGTGTATGGTAATGTTTCCCCGTGTGGCAGATTCTTGTTTACGGTACGACTGCGAAGATTATAGGTTGAGTGACTGAAATAGTCAATGAAACAACGAGAAGTGGGAAATATTGAAGAAATAAGTTCTCATGGTGTAGCAAAAGAAAAAATTAAGTAATAATATCATGTATTCTACTAACAATAGAAAGGAATGCAATCGCAGTAGGTAAATTGATGCTGGTTCAAAATAAAAATTCCGACTCAGCTATTCTAGATTAAAGTTCTAACGTTTACTTATCCAGTCACACCGTCGAAATAAAAAGACGGCCAAAGAAAAACTGCCCACAATTTTATCAAAACAAATATCAGAAATTACAGTCTTCCTGACATGTACCCTCCAGATTTAAGAAGATTGATACATCTCCAAAATTTCGCCAGAAATTAGCAAAAACGTTGCAGTTAGCAATTAGACAAACCTGAAACTAAAATAACTTCCAATCCAAGCAATTTTCTCAATGGTAAATTCGAAAATTTTTATTGGCGACAGTGCTGCCATAAACGTAAGGTAAAATAATTTGAAGAGAAGTGATTCCATTAATCCTTTGGATACTTTCATAGTACGAACCGACTGCTTGTTAATTTCTGTTCCACGATCTTCGGAGTATTCGTAACTGCTAGTTCTTACACGCCGTTGTACATTAGGAGTTAAATCATGTCTAAAATGTCTTTCAAAATGATTTGGTAATCGCAAATTAAAGTTATGGAACAACCACCGTAGAGTGAATTGATGGATTTAAATTTAAATTAAATTTTTTAAAAAGCAGATATTTTAAAGTCAGAACTGTCAGAGTGAACCACAGTAATATGAAAGACAAGAGTGATTCAATTTTAATATTCCCAAAAATCTCTATATCTTCAAGAAAATCAAAAAAAGTTGGAAAAAATAATTTTCAGTGAAAACGACAAACAAGGGTAACATACACCGGGCTGAACGAAAAACGCGCACGCCATTCATGTTCGTCATAACCACCACCATAATTGGAACTGCTGCGTCTTCGTCTAATTCCACCTCTATTTTTTTTTTTTAAAAAAAAAGAGATAAAAAAATAACAAAAGAAATTCCTGTAAAATCGCTAGGCTGACATTAAACAATGAAAAATGAATGTATAGTTTTAGATAAAATTCATGCTTGATGTGGAGTTGTATTTCAGAAATAGAGCAGTTTTACATGAAGACTTAAAAAACTTGATCTTCCACTAAATATTGTATAACTTTTATGGCGTCTTATTCCAATCATAACTGATAAGTTTTTGATTAAAAAATTTTATCCATATGAATTCTCAGTTTAAACGACATGATTCATATGACAGCCATGAATAAAAACTAAATATATAAATTCAGCAAAAATTTTATTTGCAAGCTGTGAGCCAAAAAAGAATCACATCAAAAAGAAACAAATGATAAACTTACTGGACATCAGCTTTGGAAAAGTAACCAAGTGTTATCATATTAGTAAATGACTGTCCTAACTTATTAGCCAAAGCACTGGATGAAGTCAATTGACTATGCCATACTGTTTCTTGGAATGGCGCTCGAAATGACTGAAATTCAATTTTTTGCTGGAAAATTGGAAATCACCTTATATTGAGATTTACATAAAACTGCATAATTTGATGGCTTAAATTAAAATCAAAATAAAGAAGTTTTCAATAAGATAATTGCTCCTTGCAAAAACAAGCTTACATACAATTACCAATATGCATATTTAAATAATCTATTGAAATTTTAAGTAATTACTGAAACCTTATTCAATAAATCTTGAGTAAAATTGCTAGCGAATAATTTACTGTAAATTAGAAAAATTAATAAAACTTTCATTATCTGGCATAGTACTCTATATTTTGTAGTGAATATGAGCGACGGAAATTTCCTATCTTGTCTTAAATTTGTCATATTTAATAAAGGAAAAAAAAAAAAAACAAGTGAAACCAACCTTCTTTACTTTCTCCAATTCCTCTGAGCTATGCTTGTGTTTTTCAAGACCTTAAACATATTTGAAATTTCAAGCAGAGAATTATGTACAAAATTTCGAAACAAAAACAAAATGGAATAATGCCTAAAAGTTTCAATGGAACAATAACTTAAAGGTGTCAATTCCAATTTTTAATCCCACCACACAGGAAGTAAAAAAAAAATGTTAAATGTGCGACATTTTTAAAATTTATTAAGCAAATATAAAAGTCCAAAAGAGCCAGTTCCTTTTAAAAGTTATTTCTACCTTAAAAACTTACAAGATGTTGATCCTAATTGCACACCTTGTTTAACTGTGAAATGTTCCGGATTTGGAAATATTCCATTAATGACATACCACAAACCTGAAATATTCAAAACCTGTCAAATTTAAATGTATAAAGAATTAACACAGAAAAGAGACATGTAAAAACGAACCTGCTCACTTTAAAGAGGAAAACTACACATTTCAAGCCCGAAAGAAACAGGCAATGCAAAGAGCACATTCTCTAAATTTTTGATCTTTAGGTATACCGGGCTGAGATGTGAGAAGAGCTATATTACAGTAGAAAAAAGATAAGAAAATTACTTACAGTGAATGATGAAACGAAAAACACTGATAATAATATTAAAGATATTTGTCAGAGGCCTTGGCATTAATCCACTCGCAAAATTACAGGCACAAAAGCACATGTAGTAAAGCAAACCAGCTGAAAATAACATTGATGCGTTGCGGGATGGTAGAAAAGACTTCTTAAATTAAAGCTCATAAAGTTTTCATTTACTTTTTTCAGTGATCAAAAGGAAAATAAAACTAGGAAATACTTATAACTTTTACGCTCAACCCAAAATTTTATTTCACTAATGAACTTGAATAATTATAGAGTAACAATTGTAAAATACGAACTACATAATGACTCACTTTTTCGTGCCTTTTCATATGCCCATTTGCGTCTGTAATAATTCAAAGGCAATCTCGACATGCGAGGAGTTTCATAATCATCCGAACCGTTTAGCCGATAACTTCTGCTTAAAAAAGAAAAAAAAAAGCGTAAATCCGTGTTAGCCTGCAGAAATAAACTTTGTGGTTCTCAGAAGACCGGCATTTTAACAATTATATCGCCGAAAATGAAGATAGCCCTCTGTTTGATCACGCACAAATATGAAATAATAAAATTAAATTTAAATCACCCATGAATAATAAGACATGCATAAACATCTTACACAATTAAAGATAAAACTGTCAAAGGAAGGAGAAAACAACTTACGATGTTACGTAGGTATAATCTGTACGATAGGTGCTAAAAAACATTATTAGGAATGACAGACTTTGGATAATATTAAAATGAAAGATAAACAAATGCTCTTCCAAGCATCAGCAAAAAGCCATAAAAAGTCTATCGCAGTAAGCAATCTTATGGTTATTCATTAACTAAAGAAATGACTCGTTGTGAAGGAAAAATTACAGAATTATAAAATCTCCTATCGAAGTACTTTTTTTAGAAAAAAACTGACTTACTCGTCTAAATCAAGCAATCGATCAAGATCAGACTGTGTCAGATTTGAATTACCAATAGTTGGCTCCCTAAAATAATGAAATGCAGGAGCACAAAAATGACACAAAAAAAACCTGGTAACTTATGTTTTGTATCATATGAAATGTTTGGAGGATAAGGAAAGTGCTAATCTGTGATAGGCTGGATCTTGTTATATATAGGTTGAATTTTTACTTCTCTTAAGTGAAGAACGGTGAGAAAATCTATTTATGTGTAAACTGTCTATTTTTCTTTTTGTTCTAGTCCCCTACGTCACTTTTCTAATATTTACTCAGGAAAATTTTAATCAGTTTATAAATTCACTTTAAACCCTGTTACGAAATACGATGTCGACAGGCAACTAGAAATACAAAGAAAGCACTAAAAACATTAGAAGTCACTCTAAGTTGTTTCCGAGCAAAACCAAAACTTCGTTCAGTTACGTTAACGGTTATTGAAGAAACTGGAAATACGGTCCAATGATTCCTCGTTATCTAGTGATCTTCATTACCTCTATACGTATTCTGTTATCATCATTACCTTGCAAAAATCCCCATTTTTCCGTTATCGATATATACACCGTTCGTTTATTGAATAATGATTGACTGATCTGAAAAAAAAAAAATGAACTAATTACATTTAGTAATGAGGAATACTCATATGGAATTAATACGTCACAGCATAGTGATTTCGACAATCATCTATGTACAAGCAACATTAACAAAAACACGAGTACACTCATATACGTTTGTATGCCGTTACGTAACAACTCTAGTATGCAGACATATCGCATAGACGAGATTTCTTTCTACAAAATGCTCAACTGGCGACGTCTTGAAAAGTGAGTTTTTTTAAAGTGTTTAAATATTCTCACTCCCTTCTTGAAAAGAACTATTGAAAAGTGACACGGATGGATCTATGAGCTTTGTTTGCCAAATCATTGCTGTACTAAACTAATACAAAGCCAATTCCGCCTGAACTTGACATCAGAATCAAAATCAGAAAAAAAATGCATAGAAAACATTACTTGACAGATTTCAGCGAAAGAAACAAAACTATTTTTGGAATAATCGATTTTCTTCACCCAAATTCTGATAATGAAACATTCAAATTTACGAATTTCTTTGGTATGGTGATGATATCCAATCAAAGAGAACAGCTACGGAACAATTAAAAAATTCACAAAGCATAAAACAAAGTGAAATTTTCATAATTTTCTCCTAAAAAAAGTTGTAAAACTATTCGAGAAGAATGCTAAATGTAAAGAGAAATTCATTAGTCGAAAGAATGAATAAGCCTTTTACTACGAGTGTACTTGAAAACAATTAGCATTAACAGACGCATACAAGCGACATTTCTTTACCAGAAACATCTTAAAACATTGTGAAATAAAGCACGGCTTCGACAGCTAAGCTTTCAGCTGGACTGGAAGCAGTGTCGTAAGGACGCAGAATGTTTAAGCACTACGTGAGGTGCATCTCTGGTGTCATCAGTAACACGTGGGATGATGCAATACAATAGGAGACACACAACTGACTTCAGAATGAAGGCCTTCTCACTTCTCGAAATAAAGCAATCCAATCAGTAGACAGGGTGAGTGACACATCATGCCATCAACTGATTGGATTGATTTTCGATGACATTAGCAATCAGACCAGTAACGAGTACACAGCTGCGCCGCAGCTGCGCAAATAACAAGCAGTGAACGCTTAAGGATTGTTTGGATGACACCGTTTGCAGGCTAGGATTCTTTATTTTTCTTCTTTCTCTCCCTGTCTCTCCATCCTTCTCTTCCCCTTCATCTCATGAAAGCAAAGGTCAACTCTGCTATCTCTTTTCTACCATTCATTTTGTCATTTATTTACTTGTTTAAATAATTTAACACTGAAGTAAAGAACTAAATGAACGGTAATGTAAGCAGTCTGTGACTTCGTTTTTTAAATCTTTCCTTATTTGATTCAGTGATATTTCCTGGACGTTTATTAGTGTAGAAGAAATTCTCACATACATATCTTTAACTAATAATCACTTAGATTGATAATTATAGCAATTGAGGTATTTAGACAACTATTCATCTACTGCTTTTCCACAAATACGTAAATATCCCCAACTGATCAACAATTTTTGATAAAATTCACCACTTTCAATGTTTTAAATGCTTTCTATAGCAAAAAATTAATTATGGATAATAAGTTTGACTGAACAAACAAAGATATAAAAACTTGTGTCGAAAGATAATTCACCGACAAGACTTTTAGCTTTTTCTCGGCCGCTCTTTTTGTCGCAAAAGTTTTTTTTTCTTTGTTTGTTTGCTTGCCAACGAAGTCCTTTGACTGGCATGAAAGAATAACTAGAATAAAATCTTTCCTCAGATAATATTTATTTATTTAATACAGTTAGCAGATATTTAGAATGGATCAATATGTTACAGTTCGAGAAATTTGGTGTTTTAGAAATTTAATTAAGGATTTGATATAGACAGAAACAGCACTGAATGGAATCCACTCGAGCGGGAAGTGTTGCCAAGACGGTCTAAGGTCCCCCGTACAACAAAGAACAGAAACGAAGATATCAATGTGAAAAAGATTGTAAGCTCAGTTACCAGACCGCAAATATATGGAAATAAAGTTGGGTAAATAGTTTATTTGAGAAATGTTTTATATGAAACAACCTTTAAAGTACATTATTTCTACATTATAAATTTAATTATTCCGAAATATTCAATATTATATACTTTCATTATTTCGACATATATTGTAAATCTTTCTGACACTTTTAAGAAATATCTTTGCCAAACAGAAAATAAAAATTCACTACCATTGAGTATCCTCTACGGAAGTCAACTCTTCAGAACTACAAATAATTGTTAATTCCCGGAACCTAAAGTTTCCTCGGATGTTAACTAGTGATATCAGATAAACGATTTATGCACCGATATGGATGAAACTACTATTTGCATAATGCAACTGGGTCTGTTAGGTTTGTTAACTTGTAATGTCAGAGTGCAAAAATACGATGCATTTGTAGAGTAAATCATTAAATCTATTTTTACATTTTGTGAATGTCAGAGAACCGGGATTCGTTTGATTTCTGCTTGTACTTATCCACGTTATAATTTCTTTTTCCTTCTTTTAACACCACAAAGAATGAGAAGAATTAGGACTCAATCTCAAATAATCATATAACTTCTAATTTAATTGTGTTTTCCAAATTCTTAATTGAATTTAATCTTTAAATGGCAGGTACGGTTGATAGATTGTCACAATGTAATTACAACTTTGTGGTAACACATTTCACAGAAATACTAAGTTGAGTTAGCCAAGAAAATGGATAAATTATATTTGCAAAGTTTTTTTTTTTTCTAATTTTTCTGTTCTTTTGCATACAGTTTTCCTTCGTATTGTTACTCTGTAGGAAAATCGTTTTTCTTTTTGTTTTCGGCGGTGTTCGAGACAGTAATATAGTTATCCAGTAGCCATGGATATATAATACAGGTGATACTAAAGATAAGTTTTATTCCTGCAATTTCAGTGAATCTACAATAAAAGGGATTATGTATCTACAAATTTTGTATCCATAAGGTTTAGAACCGACTTCATAAAAATATCTCATATCAAAAAATGATCTTTGAATTAGCAAGAAACTTAGCATGAAATAACAAAAAAATCATAAATTGTGGTGAAGAGTTCCACGTCTCTCCTGTTCTTTCTCTACTGCATTGAACAAAGCTTTTATATTTCCAGCACCAAAACCCTGAAGGAATTCTTTCTTCTTTAACTTTAACATGATTAAAATATAGGTGTTAGTAGTGATTAAATTTTTGAAAACTTTTTGAGTTTCAATCAACTCAAATAAGTACTCTCAACTTGTTACATCAACTACTTTTTTAAGTGGTAATATCTCGTAAGTACAGCAATGATTCTTACAATACTGGTCATCCTATCTATTCCACTTAGTATTAAGAAACCTTCGTAGCATCACTCCAAGCATTATTTTTTATTAATGATCCAACTACCCTTAATGCAAAATCTTTATCTGATATTAAGTTTCATACAATATTGATAATCTTCAAACTTACGGAATAATTATTTCTTTGGATCACTTCGAAGAAAAGCGTAGGTCGATCTTGGACAGGCTGAGTGAACATCTGTAGCAAATATCCGTGATCATCGAAATCCATTAAAATTCGAAGCTGTTTGATCTGGAAATAAAAGTTTAGCAGTTAATGCTGTCTTGCTGTGAAATCTTCACAAAGAATAGTATCTTTTCCACCAAAAATTCACGAACTTTTTCAAAGTTTTCCAACAACTTTACTGGAGAAGTGGCAAGACGTGCTTCAAGATCGGTATAGTATTCGTCGGGAATAGCAATGAATTTGACACCTCTCTGTTTCATTTGTTCCGCCGTATGAACAATATCGTCAACCAGGAATGCGATATGTTGGACACCAGAACCTCTATTGTAATCCAAAAATTCCTTGATATAAAAAGTTAATTTAAGAAATCGAAACTAAGAAAGTAAAGCTGCCAAGATTATTGATATTGCTATCTGTTAAATTGAAACCGTAATTTAACAATAGGCTACTAGAACTTTTTTGTGACTAACTTGTATCTGGCTCCTCATTCCTACAAATCTTGGGACTGGTTCAGCAAGACCTATCTGTATCGTTTTGTATTTATTCGTTATCAATACGATTTTCATAGCAGAATGACTCGAGCTGAATATCGTTTCATCGCTCGACCTGACAAAGATTTTTGTTTGAAAAAAAAACTGTAATGAGGTGAATGTATTTCATGAATAAACTGCCCGGCTCTCCTTTCGCAAATGATTGAATTGCAGAAATGTAGTTTTTCTACAGCAGGTAAGGATCTGGAATAATAACTGCGGAGAATTTAGTTTAGCTTCAGCAACTAACCATATTTCTTCGAAATCAAACATTTGATGATAGTAATGCAAAGCAGGTTGCATAAAGTCCACTGGGTAATTGATTACAAAATGATCTATGGAAATGATCGATATTTCTTCTCTAAAAGATTAATTTGTTAAGAACATATCCAAAAATGAACTAAAAGTAAGACCGTCACTTATTAATACATTTTTCCTCATTATTTTCTTAGAATTAGCTAATACATGCAGTATGAGTTAATTATCTTTATAGGTGATTTAAAGTATTTATAATCGGTAAGTAGGATAGAATACCATTCTATTCTCCTCTATTTTCGTATACTTCTATTTTTGAAGAAATCTCACATTGATTTCAGAATATTGCTGCTACAATCATATGGTTCATATTCCGGCAAAAAGAACCCTCGATAAGTTTTTGAATCCAACAAACTATGACGTACGTCACATTCCTGGAATTACTTAAATCTCATATTTCTCCTAGTTTAATATTCTTTGCAAAGAATTCCTCAAGTCCGTACTGGTAAACCAATAACAGCAAGTTTTACGAAACCATCTTCATCAGCAACAACTTCAACTGGCTTTACCACAAATCCACCTTTTTCAACGATGCGCTGCAATTTAAACTTTCAAGTAGAAGCTGTAATTTCATTTTCAAAATACAATATCAGTCTTCGAGAATGCTCAACTTGCGACGAAATTAAACGAGATGACGATAGATTGTAATCGAGGTTTTGCAGAAAGGGAAAAGAACTGAAACCGTCAAACAGCCCTTATAGCAGCATGGATTGACTAAACGGAGCTGAGAAGTCCCGGTTTGAAAAAAAATACTTAATATTTTCAACTTCATTATCAAAGATGACATCTTACAAAATCGTCTTACAAAAATTTTATGTCTCTAAAAAAAATTGGGATTTCAGAATCTTTCATCTAAACTTATTTGAAAAATCTTGAATTCAAATCACTTGCCCTCTCCTACTAAAGGTGTCTTGAAAAATTATTAGTGCCCTCAATATGTAGTGCTATTGAAACGATACTGCAATAAAACTAATGAACATATGACTAGTAAATTATAAAAACAACCTCGACAGCCGCATTTATGTCATTAGTCAGAAATGATACATCTCTAACAGAATCGCCATGGATTGTCAAATATTTCACGAAATCTTCATCTTGTTCTTTGCATGCCGTAAAGATGAAAACAATCTAGAAAGGCTCTGATTTAATCTACCAAACTTTATGCAAACAAAAGTCATTATCGTTAATTATGTTATCTTGTCGACTTCGTGGTAACATCTAACATTTCATCGATTTGCATAAAGAATGTTACTTTTCTAAGATAATCTTTTCCCATGATAGTATTCCTTATCTCAGAAATGATGATTATAATTTCCAAGCTTACCTTCCCATTGCGAATGGCTATACTGCTCCACTGAGCATCTTCTTTTTTAGCAAATTGTTGAAAACCAAAATTGACACAGTACCAATAAGAACTCTAAACTTTGTTTAATGCACAAACATCACTGAAGCAGATAATCGAGATAATACAATGTATTGATTTTATTTAAATGTTATCAAACAGTCAGAATCCTGTAAACGTTTCTGATGATTTCTGGAAAGAAAATAATAAATGAAAATTACAAAAAGTTGTAAGTCGCGAAAAATTCGACCTGTAAAGCATTAGAAACGTAAAACTCAACATGATGAATTGACAAAGGTAATCCTATTAAGGCAGTCGATTCCAGCATCTTGTTATTTTCCCAATCCCTAGAAAATGGTTCGTAATGATCACTGTGGAAAATGATCATAAATTCAAGAAAACAGACTAACCATTCGAATTCCCGACAAGACTTCCTTACTTTGTGGTATTTACTTTCTTTTTCCATTGAACGTTTCCACATGAAGTTATTAAATTCCCATATGGTAGATGATACTCTTCATTAATATAATCATTAAATAAAAAGAATCTTTTCGTTTCTTATAAGATTCTTTCCACATGAAAATTGCACATAATCAACCTTCCAGTTTTATAACCACAAACCGGTCACATGGGAATTTAATAACTTTGCGTGAAGACATTCAACGGAAATAACCAAGGAGAACGATACCTTTGTTTGCTACAGCCATCATTATCATTTCGTAGTGTAGTTCTTGCACATTTCATTTGCACCGCCTTTACTTCTTTTCCGCCACACAACTTCCTAATCACAATTCTTTCGAGGCCATATGGAGATGCTATTATTTATCATTATATTTCAAACAAGTTTTCCATCACCGACACGATAGGCACAAGATTTTTATCAATTGAAAACTTCTCAGCCAAATGTATAATTTTAAGGGTTTCAAAAAAAAAAACACAAGAAACAAATGAGGATATTCATTAAATGAAGATGAAAATAACTATAAAAACAAGACCGATATAAGTGAAGATATAGTAATCTCAGGAGTGGAACCCTATAGAGATGAGGAACTAAAATAAATAATTTGTATATATTTGAATGCGACACAATAGGAAGTGACGGAAAGATTAAGCATTAGTAAAGTAATAAAGACTCCGACTACCTGATCACTTAATGTGGGACATCTCACGAATGAACAATAACTGTAAAAGCTAAAAAGAAAATTCACTAACAATCCTTTATTCGACTGGAAAAGGAAACATTAAATTAAAGAAATAATGAATATTATGAGATAAATGAATCAGAAACAAGAGAATATTGCATTCGTTGAGGTGGTAGCTGAAAATCGAGCCAATCTGATGCATGATTGGGTAACAATCCCATACTGTGTAATTTGTATAAAGCCATTGCTATCGCTATCATGTTTCCAAGCACGAAAACTAATTTATGAAGCAAAAGTGATCCCATATTCTCATCCTAAAAATTCATTTCGTATTATTTCAAACCAAATGTAAGACATATTTCGAACTTTTGCTCAAAAGGAAATTTAAAAAAGATCAGCACCAATGCTTGCTTTCAATCCAAATTAACATTTGGTATTCTCAGTACATGTTTAAAGGATTATCGGCTAATTAGACACTCATTCTTTCATAGTACATCGATTCAAATTAGCTGCAAGTAATATTTTGTAGTAAAAAAAAGTACTTCTATTCTATAGCAAATTTTCTCCTCGTAGTAGAAATTACATATTAGTTGCACACAAAAGCAAGAACACTATTTATGCTTTCGAAGAATGCGATTTTGCAATCACAAATTATAAAAGTTCAAAACAAAATATCAGAAAAATCTATTTACTGCATAACAAATACTACTTGAACATGTGCTTAAAAACTATCTTCATCAGAAACTAAATTAAAGATATGGCTAACATCTATAATGAAAATGTTTTTTAAGCACTGTATTTAATGTAATTCGATCAGCAAATAAAAAATACTATGTCATTTAGCTAAGAAAATTATTGTGAAAAAAACTCACGAATGAGAGAGCCTATAAAAAATCAATAAGCTTAACAAAAATGAGTATTTTTGAAAGACAAAACCTGCAAAGGTTTAAACGCAGGATTAACGCTCATCAAAGCTTTAACAGGACGCCAAGCCATCATTGCGATCATCATAATTGGAAATATACTGATTGTATTGCCGGACATATACATCATGAAAAGATTCATGGGTAGACTCTTGATGGGTTGCAATGCCATATCCCATGCACGCTTCTTCATCAAATGCTGCGTTTGTTCACTATCCCCAGTTTGTTCTGTCTTAAAAACTCAATTAAAAATCATTCCTTCAGTCTAGTATAAAATTCGTTTCATCCTTTGTTAAGAGAAGTAAAAAAAAAGTAAGGCAAAAAAGTAAAAAAAAAAAAAATGAAAAACCTGTTGCACAGTAATCCCAGTTTGTGAATAACCAGGCGGATTTAAGGATGAATCCAAGTTACGACTTACAGTCCGTGTCCCGACACCTGTTAAGTCCAGTTTCCACTTCACCAAAGACATCTGATTTTTCATCAATCACTTTAATCAAGCAAACTGAACTAATCACAACTTATTTTACTAACAACTAACAACGCTGTTCACTGCGCTGAACAGTAAATAACTGATGTATCGAAACAAAGCATGTAAATCTCACATGACTATTGAATTATGAGACTCAACTAACAGTAATCTTTATATGGGCATGACACAAATAGAAGCATATACGAAATCTAATTAATAAGTAAATAAACCCTCAAAACGTTTGTAATTATAAAAATTCATACTAATGCGTAATGTAAGATTCTAGCACCTAATATTCTGGTTGTGACTTCCTGTTTCAGCATCTAATATTTTGCTTATTCTGACATAAAAGAAAATTTAGCAAGAGTCCACAACACAATGATATGATAATAATTCAAAAATCAATTAGAATATGAAATGAAGTCCTCATCAGCAAACTGTATCGACTGTTTGAAGTGTCAAGCTTCGTGATTTAACAGTAAATACATATTGTTTGGTACCAATACGAAATTAGAAAAGCACAACACAGAAATGAATAAAATATTTTTCTAAAACTGAACTGAAAAAAATTTTTAAAGTGAAACGTGGAAAGGAACAATGATATAGCAATACAAATGTATTGTAAACATGCTGAACATCAAAAAATATTTGCGAAATTATTCTGCCAGTAAATATATACAAATACCCAATAAGGCACGACAAAAAAAAATCTCGAAAAAAGTACACGAATAATTGAAATAAATTTACCTTTCACCAATATAGGAGTGATTTTATTTCAAATTTAATGTAAAACAGGAGTTAAGCTAAAGTAGTAAACAACCCTGGTGATATGTAAGGTCTCCTATCTAATCCGGAAGAGCTTCTATTCTTGTTCGGTTGCGATTCCTTTACTGCAAACAACAGATCTTCTTGATTTATTACATATTTTGTTCTTTCGAGGTCAACATCTAAAAATAAATTTGAAATTTTGTGCAATTAACTCATTAAAGAACATCATTTAAGAAATATAAAGGCAGATATACAAGTTACTTTGTTTTTTATATTTAGTTTGAATACGCGATTTATGTTTATTTAATTAAACACACGATTTATGAATTTCTATATTTAAAAATTGCAGCAGACCAAATTAGTATAAAATTTTTCTTTCTATAATGCGATTAGGCGATTCAAAAGATTCGAAGAATTTGCATACCTTTGTCGCCAAGTGCTCCTTTTATTCTCTTGTGAGCGATCAACTGAGCATTTGTTACCAAACCTTTTAAGTCAGCACCCGTCCAACCATGTGTTGCTCTTGCTATCACTTCAAAATCAGTATTTCTTAAGCTCATACCTCGGCAAAATATCTCCAAAATCGACATTCGCTCCTCCTAAATATAAATGGCTAATTTTTTAGTCATTTTTTTGCCAAATTCTTGTCTTCTACAAATTGCTTGGTAATTTAGCTATTAACGCTCTGATCTATACGAGTTGTTTTATTGTGATTTTTTTGAAGCCCTCTATCCGTCGAAACCAACAAACAACATCAAACAGAAAGCTGACATCGTCAATGTGAAGTGGAACAGTACATAAAACTTAAGTTGTGATTCATTTGACCTGATTCAACTTTGCGACATAATTTAAAGACTGGGAAATTTCTAACCAGCTTTATATCTTTTTAACTTTTAAATTCATAAATTTACCACCCTCGGAAAAAAACACTTCATTCTTCAAACAAAATTTGGCAGGTATAAGACTAAAACTTTAGCGCTATCTCAATCTTTCTGATTTCTACCATATATAAAAGAAAGTAATTTCCTGAACATTCGAAATGCAAAATAATGTAAGTCAAACACGAATTCAACTGAAGCTTTGCATCGGTTTGCTGATGGATTACAATAAAACGACAAACCATATTGGGTAATTCACATTTAACAATGTAGTCGAAACGCCCCGGTCGTAATAAGGAACTATCAATCAAATCAATTCGATTTGTAGCCCCAATAATATAAACATCTGTAAAAGACAATGAAACAACAATGCTTTCACATATAATTATTAACCACGTGGGAAACATACGGGTAACCACGTATCTGACAAAATTCATAATTTAAATATAAAAGCAAATACCAAACGCAGATAAATCTCGGAACTATTAAAAAAATACCATTTAGCCCTTCAACTCCATCCAGTTCTGTCAGCAATTGATTCACCACACGGTCCGTTACTCCTGTATCACTCTCACCACGCTTTGGACCTAATGAATCAAATTCATCGAAAAATATCAAACAAGGGCTTCCAACACGAGCACTAAAACTGCGATATGAATGAAAGTAAATCGAAAAAACAATTTTACAATCTATCTACTCAAACTTATAGGTATTTCATATGCAATATGTCCATGCAAATATAGGTATTCCACATGCAATAAGTCCATGTAAAGAAGAAGTGAGACAAGATTCTGCTCAATGTTTAATTACGCGAGTACTTTTTAAGTTCAAAAATTGTTTTACAAAATACAAGCCTCAGAAAAATATTATAAAGTAGCTTCTCGAGCTTTTAAAGCTTGGTTTGCTATATTAGGATTATAATAATTTAAACTGTAACCTACCATCCAAAAATTTTCCGGACATTTTCTTCGCTTTCACCAATAAACTTTGATAATAATTCCGGTCCCTAAATATATTTTTTTTGCCAATTTAAAATTCGGGAATGTGGACATTTTTAAATTCATAAATTTATTGTTCTTCGGAGAAAATACTTCATTCTCCAAACAAAGCTTGGCAAATTAAATTAAAGAAGAAATATTTTAGCTGTAAGATTAAAACTTCAACGCTATTTGAATGTTTTTTCGGTTCCTTATTTAAGTCTCATGTTTTCAACTTAATTGAACAATAGGAATAGCTACTTTGATGGATATGACATTGAAGTCCCATTGTGCTGCTAAAGTTCTACAAATAAGAGTTTTTCCACATCCGCTTGGACCATGCAATAAAACTCCGCGACCAAGACGAACAGAAATATTTCGATACAGCAGTGGATACTTAAGAAAAGCAAAATTTAATAGAATACATGCAGCCTTATTATTCATTGATACATAATACAATAATCTCGTCAATTATAAATCAATTATATGCATCATTTTCAAAAAGATAATAAGTCAGGAAACTCTGTTCAGATCCACTATTCGTTAAAATGACTTAGTCATGTTTCCAAACTTAAGAATCAAACAAAAACAAAACTAAGGAGTACTTACTTTTGTTGGCCAAATAAAAACTTCTGTAATAATTTTTTTCACGTTCTTTAATCCTCCAACATCCTCCCATTTCAGTTTAACTATATTTCTTGGTTTCAGTTGTTCGAAGGGCACTGCAATCGGTTGGAATTCCCTGAGTGCTTGTTCCACACTATCCTTAATTTTTTCACGACCTGTGGCAAAAATACTGAGGAATTAATAGATCTTTATAGCAAATCTTGGAAATTACAGAAATTTTTAAGACCGATGCAAGGAAATAAAATTTATGAGAATTCTTTCAAATTTCTCAATGTCTTAGTTTCGACTAACTAGATGAGAGATGTGGGAATTAAAAAAAAATGAAATGACAGAATATTAAAAATTGAACGATAATACAAAGTAAAATCTGCTCATGCAGGTGAAAAACTATACCTTTTACTTCTGATTCTAAGATAATTCTTTGGGCTAATCTTTTCAAATCACTAATAGTGCATTTCCCAGTTGTTTCGGCAGCATATTGTAAACTGCATATTTCTATTTTTTGATTACAGAATTTCTCCAAGCATTCTGCTCGTTCAATCTGGAAATCAAAAATTTCAAACAGATATCTGTTATAAAAATTTGTACTCTCCGAAAACGACTTCCAGAAAAACACTGATACATTTTACTCGCTTTAATTTAATTTGTTGTAACAGCTATTGGTGTAAATGATAAGCAAAAAATTAATAAGATATGGCTCATCAAATGAAATTTTTCCTAGTGAAATCCACAGAAATTACTGAACCTTTCCAAAAAAAATTTTTTCTTGAAAATTTGTTTTCCCAAACTTTTCTAAAAAAACTCAATCAGTGAGAAGCTGACACCTGACAATAAGTTCATGATTTTTACTGTCATAAAGGCATTTCTTTTGCTGTATAACTTCTGTACCAACACACCGCAGTTACCAAATCTTTTAATTTTGTACATTGCACAAATCTTTCCTAAATTTTCTTTTTAGAATTTTTTTTCAAACTTGTATGCAGTATACTGATCCTTCACCAAAAACACTGGTTAAGCAATGAAATAATTCTTGCAGGCGCGGCATGTAGCTTTGATCTTCATAAATAAATTTTTTCATAAATTTAATATTGCTATGTGCCCGAGTATTTCTAGTATTTTTCTGTGGGCTCACCATGTTTTTTCTATCAACTAATAATTGTTGGAAATGTTTTTTACTATTCAATATTCTGTATTGCACCCGTCTATATTGGCAATCATATTGTTTACCATTCATGGATAAAGTGGGAGCTATGAATATCGTTCAATTTCATCCTCTCTCCATTCCGCTGCAGAGAATGTCCAAAAAATGATTCAAACATTTTTAAATCCGCAAAATGAAGGAGTGAATTTTTACTCATAGGAATTTTCTTCCTACTTCAAAATAAAAAGCTGGAAAAGGAAGAAAGATGCTAAAACAAAAGACGGTATTATTTCTGACTTTAGTCATATATTTTAACTCGAAGTTTTCCATTACATCTTCTCGCAATTGTATGAACCTTCTTAAGTTGCATTCGCTGTCGAAGAAATTCGTTTTACCCATATTTGACCTCCTCCCTCTAGTATCGTGCAATAATTTCAGTTAAAGTAAGCATATAAATGAAGTTAACAGATTAAATGTTGTGTATAGGTGCAATATCATTCAAACAATTCAGTAAACTGCACACATTTTTTGTGCCTTCAAGTTAATTAGGAGTGGTACGAAAATCATAGAGGAGGAGTTGAACTAAAAATTTTAACGGATGAATGGAGTATTTGTTAATAATGCAAATCGACGGAACTCAACGAAACTAGTAAATTCTTGTCTTTATCACATCAAACAACCATATTTCAATTTCGCTGACATATCAGCGAAAATTCAGTTGGTAACCTATATGATAAAATATCTTTCACTATGTCATCAATCCCATCTCGAAATGCATTTATTTTCCCTCACATTTTTTATTGTCATTAATATTGAAAAGATGAACGAGAAGGGCTGACAACAAAGGATTAAACTTGACAGGGTAAATCTAATATGAGAACACAGCAACATTTAACATTTATAAGGTATTTCCTGCACATAATGTTTGCAAGAATTATCCTTTAAGGCAACACAAAAATACTAGAGAATTTCGATCTCAACGAAAACCCATTCTAGGAAGTAAAATTAAATTATCTAACTTAAGATAATACTTAATATTTACACGTACTAAGCAATCACCCATAAGCCGTTAAGCATGATTTTTTTCTGCAAATATAGTTATAGTAAGTAGCTGTTGTATAATTTACTTTCCATAAGTCAACTTAATCCTATTATTTAAAAGTACGACAATCTCATTTCACATTTCCCACCTCACTTTCTACTTGGATAGGAAGTGTGTCTCCGTTACAGAATCTTAGCGAAGAACACATTTATTTCCAAGGTGAGAGTGAGGTTGGGGGATGTAGTCGGTGACACTCCTCTTTATGCTACCTCTTTCTCTACCTTCATAGTAACATGTTATAGGTACCCTTACAATGGCAGACTATGACACCTTAACAGGGAGTAACATGAACAAGACGTCATCATTGTGTTCACCTCATCAGCAATAGTGAAAATTAGGAACTAAGATCTCTCTCCTACCAATACTCCGCGTAGTAAAACCAGCTTCTCTTATCTCTTCTACAATCGTTTTTTATGTTGATCTTTGAAAACGCATCCAATATGTTTTCCACCACCGATTTTTCCTCTTTTTCGCAAATTTGTATTCGACAAGAAATCTTTTCAAATCTCAGTCTTAAACTCATTCTAATTTAGTGTCAGTTCCTTTCTCTGACAAAAATGAATTTCTAATAACCACAAAAAACAAATCACATTACTTTAGGATATATGAGATGCTAAAAATGTTACTTCAATAAATAATGAGATTTCAGTAATATCTTCTAGATTTTATGCAGTTAATAGGCTTAATTCCTCAAAAGCATTTGTATAGAAATTGCTCCTTACAATTACTACAGCAATGCGGTACTCAGAACATCAAAATATGTTTAAATTTATGAGATGAAGACATTAAATATCGTAGAAAGACATTTTTTCAATTCAATTTATTTCTTCGCCGTGACAGAGAATTACGCTCAATTAAGTGAAAGACGAAAGACCTATTATCTTCTCAGGAAGGAACTGAATTTATGTTTAACTTTATTTTCCTAATAATGAAGCTGTGTATCATCCTTTAATGAAGTAAATGATACCATCTCATGGTCTAAATCAAAATTTGTTTCAGGAAGATGACAAGAAGTGTAAGCACAAATTTCGGGGAACAATTAAGCACTGAATCCAAAAAATTGGTAGATGAAATACGCTTGAAAATTAACCAACCAATACATCCTAATGTAAGTAATAACTGATTATCTTTTGCAGCAAACAACCAATAAAAGATACTCCTAGATGTAAAGAAATCTTCTTCACAACTGCAAAAAGAGTACTCTGACAGACAATTATGAAGTGGAAAATAAAATCCCGTTCATCTCTATCTTTCCATGTTCCATAAAATAAATTTTTCCTGCTATAAGTCTTATAGGACATCTCTCCTAGCAAGCAACAACAATCTTGTTGCGCAGGAAATGTTTCATTCATCTAATTTTTCTAAAAAATTGAGAATGGAAGAAAAAAGTTCACTACTGCCATCGACATAAATTACTAACTCTTTTGTCAGCATTTAAATTTTATTTTTAGTTCGACAACGACTTTAACATTTATCGGTTTGTGTTAGCTTGTGAAAGGGTACTAAAGAAAAAAAAAGATGTTGTGGATACCGCTGTTAAAGCCCTCAACAATCATTTGCGCATTCGAAAAGCATTTAATTTGGTTTGTTGAAATTAACAGTTTTTAAAACTAATTTTTAGAAAGAATATAAGTTGTTTGTCTTGAAGTACAGTTCATTTATATTATATTACAATTCATTAATACTATATTCTGTGTTATATTTATTGTAGGATAATTTGCCAGATCTTCCATTTCCCGAAAACCCTATGTACTCTCTAAAACTGTTTCCGATGGGAGATATTCTGAATGTAACAGATAACCATAATAGATTGTTATGGTATGTGGAGTATAAAACAGTCAATGTTGAGGTTAGTATAAGATATTCAATTCAAATACAAATGTGATATTTACATTATATTATTTACGAAAGACATCATCGTAATTTAATGAATTTTTGCTTCTGCTAACTTTGGGAAAATAATATAAAAAGTTAAAAGAATCGATTGCAGGCCATAGCTCATACAGTGCGCAGTTCAGAATCTATACGCTTACAATTTCGTCAATTCGAACATATGCTCAAAAGAGTCAATCAGCAAGTACACAAATAACTCATTCACAACATTTTAAAGAATTTATGGCAAAAATTCTGACTGAATATTTTGCTTGTAAACTGAAGCTTTAGCTTTTATGAAATAGTTTCTATAACATAGCGTATTCTGCTTCGCGATAATCAAATTGAGACTATATATATAAGTGTTACCAAAATTTAAATGCAGTAATTCGCAAGGATAGTTATTAGCTTCCTGTTATAAAAAAAAAAATCCAGAAACCGACTTTTTTAAAAAATCGCGCTCCACCATCATGGAAATTTTCGAGATTTCAGGAACAGAAAACTGGTCGACTAAGTGGTTTAAGACATATTATTGATCTAAATGGCTATGAAATTAATCCGTTCACTATGATCTTCGCTACGAATGGCAATTTAGCCTATTTCTCCCAGCTTCTTCATTTCGATAATTATCCTGAGCTAGTTAGTTTAAAAGTTTTCCCCATGGATTTTTTGGAGAATCCATTAGTTAGCACATTTGTAATCGAAAAGTCAGTAGGAACTTTCTCCGGTAGATTCTAGTAGCATCGCAACTGTTACATTTAATTAACTGACAAGCAAGTATAGTTTATTACAAACTTAATAAAACCAATTATTCCAGGTAAGCCCGGTGGAGATGGTAAATACTTCGAAATGGATTCATTTACCTTATAAAATAGCACGAACAATGATGCCTGACAGCTTCATAGAACGTTTCCGACTGCACAATGAAAACTTCCTGCCTAATTTATTGAAAGAGATTAAAATTGAAGATATCCCCGCTACTTTGGGAGGCAAAAATGAGGTAGCTCATTAAAAAGGAAAATTTTCAAGTTTCCAGATTAAGGAAAAAATTAAGACCATCAATACTGATCAATACATATAATTTAGAATTTAGCCACATCAAGGTAGTTTCCTAGCACTCTTATATCATAATGAAACACGCGTTCTCAGGGTGAATTATTTATTTATTTTTTTGTTCCCCCTTTTTTTGGGATTTGACGCACAATTTTCTGTTTCAAATAAAATAAACTAGCTCCAAATAAGTTATACACGTTTATAATGACGATAATTATTCAGACTAGAATTAATAAAACCTCTGCAGTAAATGAAACCCAGAATAAAACTTCTACAGGAAATTCAATGTCAGCCAGCAGAACAAGAACAACGTGTCAAACCGAAAAGCCTTGAATCACCAAGCAATTTGGAAACGATTATAATTTTACCAGGAAAACGACGTCAAATTTATGTAGACATAAAGGAGAAAGGAAACAAACTACAGTGGTATTTTACTACGGATAGCGATATCAGTTTCGGCGTTTTTTACGAGGTGATAAAAAATTAGGGCATGGTTTAAGTCATATCATCACCGTATTAATAGAATTATCAAGACAAAAACAATCAATATCCTAAATCTAAAATTTAAAAGAATATCATTTAACATCACAACTGAATTATAAATTTAATATAAACTTCCGAGAAAATTACAACAAGCATTAAATCTGATCTTACTTGAAAGAATGGTTTATTTAGTTTACTAAAGTAAATGATCTCTAATAAATGTTTAAAAAATTTAAGTTTCAGCCTCCACATCAAATCCTATCATCAAACAAAGCAATAACTGGCATGCGACAAGGACAAGAGATTAACACTGATGAACTTGAAATGGTTTATCCATGGCTTAAACTGAGTGCGAAGTTAGTTCCTGAAGTGGATTCAATAGAATGCACAACACCGGGTCGTTATTGGATAATTATTTGTAACAAATCATCTTGGATGCGTCGGAAAACAGTGAACTTAGTCATTCAGCTAGTATACAAAGATAGTGGCTATGCCAAACAGTGTCACAGCGATGGAACATTTGGCAGTTGCTCAAAACCGTTCGTTGCTGATTATTTGCTATAAACTTTTTCCTTTTACAAAAATTTTCTAAAAAAGTTCTATAAAGTTTGCAAAAATATAAATTAGTTGCTTGTTTTGGTATCCAATTCCTTTCTTCTGGAAAACTAGTAAGGAGGATGGAGAGATCAGGTCTCGAAAAGGAGAAAGAATGGCATGAAAAAAAAATAAAAAAAAAAAAAAAAATAGAAAGGAAAAGGACAGCTGCATCTTAAAGTTCTATTTTATTTTTTTGATAAGAAGCAAATATCAATTTTGTGAACCGACATAAAAATTAAAGACTATTTCGAAATATCGATATTACAGTTAAGTGATCTCAGATTCGAGGAACTCCTTAAATCCTAGTAACAACTTTTGCATGAAATTCAAGAAGTGAGTTATGAGACAAAAACAAAAATTAGTCGTAGCAAAGTTTTCTAATAGTCCCTTGATCCAACCAAAGCAAAGATTAACAATGGAGATTTTCTAACCTAGATGAGCAAAATATTTCTCAGTTCTTAATATTTTTTATTCTCAGTTAATATAATATATTTTTAAAATCACAACACTAAAACGAATAAAAACTATTCCTACCAAAGAGAAATGCAGCAGTGCAGATATCGTTATAGAAGTTTTCACTAATAACAGATGCTATCATGATGCATATAACTTAAGTTGCACGTATAATTTAATAACTTGCCGGGCTAAGTTCTTTGATGTCTTCCACGTGACCAAAAAATCGACCACCAGCATTCAACGAAAACAGTTCGACAACTTCATATTTGGTGCACGCCGTTGCAACAACCAACAAATCATTTTTAGTGGCCAAATTTCGGACTACTTCAAGAAACATAGAAGTTTTTATGAAATAAGACATAAAAAAAATAACACAAATTAAGTTTATATTAATCACCAACCAAATTAAGGAGAATAAATTGACTGACATTAATTGTGCAAAATGGAATTCACGAACTTACATTCGGCACATTTTTCCAAGCGAACATTTCTCACTTCCTCATCTTGACCACGCAATAAAATATCCAAGTCATCTAAGAAAAGGACTGAAGGATAACGTCGCCTTAAACGCGTTATCGTACTTTTCAATACATCTTGAAATTTCTCAATTGGTTTTCCTGCAAACAGAAGTCTTAGAATCAGTGAAATACTTCCAAAATACTCTGTTAGGTAAAACCCGTTTATGAAGATAAAAAATATAAGTACAAGAAATCTATCCTTCAGTATTATAGTACTCAAAACAATAATTATTCTAAATTTCTTACACTAATCCCATGAACCTTCACAATATCAGATGGAAATCTAACAACCACAAAACGGACAACAACAATACCGCATCATACCATTAGGATATCATTTAAAAAAATACTACTTCCAAATTTAGGAAGATTTCTGATACAAACTCACCATTCCACTCAGAGCAATATAAACATTCACTGTAAACAGCCAAGTGAGACTGGAGTAATTTTCCTGCAAGGAAATGTAGAATCGTTGTTTTACCTGCTGATTTGTTACCCACTATAAGAATATTTTCTGATGAAAAAAAAGTAGGCTTCTCCAAATGATAAGTAATATATGAGCAACATTTCTCAATAAATGCAATTTGGAATCTGAAAAATTTTAATATTAATACCAACTGAGTTGAGCAGTAGCCTTTACAATCAAATTTATATTTCAATATTTTAAAATGTTCAGGTCACACTCGACTACTCTACCTATTTTACAGCCTCTCCACATATAATGGTTACTCTCTCTTACCCCTCTTGCACATTCAGAATATCTTCACGAATAAAACATACGAAAATTCAACTGCTTCATTCCCCCATTCTCCAAAGTTTACAGTTGCCTGATGAATATCCTCATTCCCATTTCTTCTCAGCATCTGCACGAAACTAGCTTTCACTGAATCAGTATTCTGAAAGAATAAAGAGGTTTCTATTGTCGGATCAAGCTGCTCAACAAAAATTTCCGGCAAGCACTGTTAGCCCCTGCAACTCTTTCAAAAATCTATATCTCATGTGAAGATATAAATTTTACATTAAAATTTCTAATTAAATTACCGTTAGCTATTTTCAAAACATATTTCTCGAAAATTTCCACATATATTATTAAATACGTCATTTACCGGATATTCAAGCAGAGGAAACATGTCGTTAGTAAAGACAAAACATTTCTGAGACCCTTCGTCATTTTTGTCATTAAAATGAGGTTTAATTCGACACTGAATACGAACTTTACCTGGAAAACATTTCAGCTTTATTTCGTGGCATTTCAATTATTAACGGGAAAAGACGACATATAGAAAGACAAACAAGTCTTCCGCAAATGCTAACATAAACTCTTCATTTAAATTATTAAAGCAGCCAAAAAAGACAAGAAAATTTTTATAACGTGTGAAACACAATGCACTTCAATAAAATGAAGAGCACTAAACATATAGAGACATATCTCATGATTTGGTTCAAACTTACGAGTTAAATTTACTTCCACTATGAGTCCGTCATCTGGAACAATGATTGGATAATGTCGACAAGTCTTCCACAAATGGTTTCGTAAACACTCATTGAAATTCTCAGATAACTTGTCCTAAATCGTACAACAGAATTTACAGTTGAATTCAAATTAAGAGACGCGAATATGTAATAATGAATTATACTAACTTCTGAAAGTACTTCGAGGATTTCAAGCTGATAAATGTTATTTCTGGGTAAAGGAGATACTTTAATCCATTCATATTCACCATTCATAACTTGATGTAGTTTGGGTGAAAAAGCGCAGTGATAAGCATCATATCGCTGAAAAAAGAAAATTTATCAGAAATGAATATGTAATAAAGCTGCTTCATAAAGAAATTGTTCATTATTAATTAATACAAAATCCTAACTACGAAATCATCTAATTAATTCTCTAACTGAATTTTATACAGAAAATGAACAGTTAGTTAAGCTTTTGAAGCAAAAGCAAACAATTAAAGTGCCTTATTTACAAGGTACAAAGTTGTAACGCTACTTCTAAGATTATTCAGATTTATTTACATCGAGATGGAACTAATGAAAAGCACTACAAGGCACTAGAAAGGCACATCCTCAAAGTACCTTCAAACAATCTCTTAATGTAGCAAAACGGGAACATGACATCGGTAGTTCAATAAGTAAAGCATGCGCGGTTCGACCGGTTTCATCATTATGAACAGTTGATAATGTGACGTTTTCTGAGTTACTCTGATCTAAAATTGACAAAAAAACTTCCCAGCAGATAGAAAAATCAATCTGTTACCAGTTTTTTTACTATTTTCAAGAAGCAAAACTTTCCCATTCCACCACATTTCTTGTAACGTATATTATGATTTCCATAAATAATATATGGAATTGTTAAAAATACAAAGAAACATACTGAAATTGAGTTTAAAAACGGCAAGTATGTCCAGATCTTTCAAGGTAACATCATTAATCAGTATTTTAGGCAGTACCCGAACTGCAGTTCTGTCAAGAACATTACCACAGTAATCTTGAATCTTCAGCATAAATGGCTCCGGCGAGAAATTTGAGAATAGATCCTTTATTTTACATGCGAATGATAATGGAGGTATTCTCAAAATGTCTCTTGAACTGTCCTTGAGACTACTACGATTTGAGTAGAAGGGTTTCACATGGACCTCCGTAAATTCACATAGACAAGCATTCTGCACCATGGATGAAAATATTTTGATTCGAGCTGAAATCTGTTCCAGTTTATTTACTTTCATTCATTTGCTTGTTAAATCATAAATAAACGACAGAGCGTTAATGAAATGAGAGGTGGACGAGTTTTCCAGTGTTCAAAAGAGATGCTATTTATAAACTGAAAACGAGAGAAGTGGAAGTCAACATAAAGCAAATATGCAGCAATTTAGCAAGAAGTTAGAAATAAACAATTCTCTAAACACTTCTAAGCTTGCTACCATCAAAATTCCAGGCAAATGTTTTTAGCACAAAATTAAAATTTTATCAGTAGCGAACAAATCGTGATTTAATCATGTTACAGCAACGCAATATGCTTTTGACCTTTATATTTATACTCTGGTTCAGCAAATTTATTGATTAAAAAGTGATATGAAATACGTAATGAAATCAATTCAAAAAGCAAAAGAGAATGAAAAAAAAAAAAGCTTTTAGCTTACCAACAGTGAAATAAATGTAAAGATTTTGAGCAATCCAAACTGGATATGTTTGGCCAACAGTAATTAATTGAATTTGTTCCAGAAGCAATTCTTCAATTCGTTGCGATGAATTTTGCTAAAAAAACCGCTTCATCTAATTATAAAAAATTCTGAAGTACTTCATAGAAATAGTTGGAATCACAATGTTTAGTTATCTAAAATAATCAGCAAAATTATGCCTCTATCTCCAAAGTTTCAGCACTTGAGGTGCGGAGCTAGCATTTGCCTCCTAAAAACCTCCTTAACTTTTTATTCCTGCTACATTTGCAATTTCTAAATACCATGATATGCGCATTAAATTCATGTGAAATGGAACAGTAAGAAATTCATGTGAACAGTAAGAAATGAACTATACCAGTGTGCTACGAATCAAATTTTAGAAGTACTAAAATATGGAGAAGTTGAGCAAAGATAGTGGTCATAGTTAAAAGAATTATTTTAATGATTTTTTTCTCATATTTCCTAAATATGTAAAAACATTCCTTGTATCTCTTAATTTTATTAGGATAAAACATACGACAATATTCCAGTCTTCCTCGGAAGTCAGCTCTACCTCAAACGAACTGCATATAGGTGCTGTTTTTACCTTCTGAACAATTACCTAAAAATGAATTTGATACATAAATCAAGTTCCCACCAAAAAATAACCTCGGTTCACTTAAGTGTTTCGTAAATATTATTTGAAATTAAGTGCAAGGAATCAGCGTTACCTTTTCATTTTCACGAAGGCCAAACAAATCTGCGAATATTTTGTTAATAAGCAATATTTTCGGTGTATAACAACAGTGGTCATTTGGAGCAAAAACTTGAATTATACCACAGTCTGTTGAATTTTCACATCTAATAATGGTGTATGCACCAGGCGTTACCGCATTAGCCTGAACTGCAATTAATATAGACAAAATATCTTCCAGGCCAGCCACAGAAAACATACAACGGACTTATTATCGCCACTGATTATTCCAAGCGTTCAAAATGAGCAAACCAAATAATAAATTGTGTCTTAGATTTTATGAACTGTTTTCACATTTCCGATACTTTTCCGAAAGATACAGAAAATATGAAAAATCAAAAATAATGGGAAATCTCTTGATTTATTCACCAAATTATTATTTAAAATTCTTAGCACTAAATTACAAAAATTTGTAATTAGTAATTTGTCAGTGATCTTTCTCAGTAATCAGTTACCTGTATGCTATTCTTTAGTGCTACGTCACTGTACTGCAGTTGAATATATCCAAAACAGTTTTTTCTCTGATGGTACTTCAATGTAGCACTGTACATCCCCACCTTACAGTTCACCTGAAATCGACGTGCCGTGGCCTGAAATTAGCATCACATCTACACTTACACGACTACCTGCACTCAACGTGAATGGATTAATAAAGTGATGAGAAGAGTGTGTATCCATCGTGGAGAACACAGATATGCTGTGTGTTGCGAAATCGACGTCTGTGACGTAGTTGGGCGTAGAGTGTGGTGCGCAGATTTACACGTGGCTTCGAGGCTGGGCAGTGGTGGGTGGAGGGGAGTGCTGCTTTAAGTGATGGTTATGTGTGCTTTGTTTGCCTTGTTTAACTTAAGTTCTGTCCTTCCGGTGAAGTAAGTTATCTGTCAGGTTGGGACAAGCCTGCATCAAGCATTTGCTATTACATCTTCCAGGTTACGGAAAATGAAACTGTCTATAGTTGATAAGTAAATTCTGAAATGAAAAGTGAATTAAATTTAAGGCCGTTTATTTGATTACTACATTTCATCCTTCAATTATCTCTTAAATGTGTTGTAATATTAATATTTGTTAATACTATGCATATTAAGTATTTCATTTTCTCATGTTATTTCTATATGTTTGGCAATATTTGGGCAAAATTACAGATATGTCGGTGAACGTTGCCAGGCTGCTGAGGTTGACACACGACAAACAGGAAACTTTTCTTAAGATTTTGATTCTAGCATTGGCAGCTGTGGTCGCCTTTTCAAGGTTGGTTTTCAAGGTTGAAAGAATTTTTTCTACATAATAGCTGTTTCTGGAGAAGTATTATCTGCTGCAGTTTAGTCGAGGGCATTCCATTTTACACATTAAATTTATATCACCTTACTTGTTGTCATTTCATGAACTTCAATATTTGAATATTCGTGTTTTACACTTAAATTTTTTTCTGTTTTTTCCAGCCGACTTTTTGCTGTGATCAGATTCGAATCGGTCATTCATGAAGTAAGTTGTCCGTCTCACCATTTTACCTTAAAAGCATTTCAAACTTTGCATGCAGGGAGACTTGCAAGGGAAAATGTATACCGGTATACCTAGTTTCTTAAATTTATAATAATATCAAGTGTTCGATATTACAGTTTGACCCTTATTTCAATTATCGAACTACTCGATATCTTACTGATGAAGGATACTATAATTTCCATAACTGGTTTGACGATCGAGCATGGTATCCGTTGGGGAGGATCATTGGTGGTACAATATATCCTGGTTCGTCTTTATTTTATTTCTCTAACTGCATTTTCTACTCTATTATATTCTTCCGGGCCTCGAAAAATATGATTTTAGAACGTTGTTTGATTTTTAGGTCCTGGAAAATTTAGTTTATTCGGGAATTTGAAAATAAGAGTTTTCAGTGATTTTGTAAAATTTTTCTAACAAAACATTTGTTTAGGTTTAATGTTAACAAGTGCTTTAATTCATCGCATACTTCACTTCGTTCACTTCACATTACATGTGCGAGAAATTTGTGTATTTCTTGCTCCACTTTTTAGTTCATTCACAGTTTTAATAACATATGCGTTAACGAAAGAATTAAAGGTTTGTTTACGTTTGTATTTTGAAAATTATTTTTTGCAATATATGGCAAAAGATTTTTATCATAGTAACGATTTTGATTAGTCTCATATGTGAAAAAATTAGTTTTAGTTTGCATAACGAATTAGTATGCAATGAAGATTTTTATTTCTGTTTCTTTTCGATGTCAGATTTTGTTGTGTGAAATAGTATATAACTGAACTTGATATCTGCAAGGTGATCAAAAGAACGTTTGTTACACTGAATCTTGATAGGTCTGTTGGCGTGGTCGGTAGGTTACGTTATGTGTGAAGACAACCATATTACAACACATTTTTTTTTAAATTCAAAGTGTTTCAACATTTGATACATTAACTTCTGATCGTCGACTGCCCATGAGCTTGAAGATTATTGATGTTAATGAAACCTCTAAGGCTTTTGGGTTTAAATATATTATATTTATAATTAGGTGAAAGAAAGTGATATTATTATGGGATTCAAAAAGAACAGTGGCAAGTAAGTGTGAGCTTCCATGAATTCATATGATGTTATGTTGTTTAGTGCAGTAATATGATTTTAATGACTTTTATGATTCAGTCAACTTTCTCTGTTACTGTTTTTCTTTAATCATGGATTTGAATCGGACCATGGGTAATCATATTTAAACTGAGTAATGCAATTTTGATGCAGTTTTAATTTAGCTTGAGTTATTGTTAGAGGGGTTCTGTTACAGGATGACGCGGCTGGACTTGTAGCTGCTTCCATGATTGCTATTGTGCCAGGTTACATATCACGTTCTGTTGCTGGTTCATATGATAACGAAGGGATCGCTATATTTTGTATGTTGTTCACCTATTACTTGTGGATCAAGGTTTGTTTTCATACCCATTAATGATGGATTTTGCTTTTGTTAGATATATTTATTAGTGGTATTCCTGTTTGTTAAACACAGTTGGATACCTCTGTTATTTTTAAGCTCTCTTCCCTTACTTTCACGGAAGTATCAGGAGATAGCATCAGTGAATTTTACGGAATTTCTGGTATACAGTATAAAGTATTCAGGCAGTAAAAAGTGGTAATGTGTGTTGGTCAGTTTTATGTTCACTTGGTTATTTCTACATGGTTTCTTCATGGGGTGGTTACGTGTTCTTGATCAATCTCATTCCATTGCATGTTTTGATACTTATTTGCACTGGCCGATTCTCCAACAAAATATATATCGCTTATTCGACTGTTAGTTTTTTCGGGTTTCGCGTAATAAAACAGAATAAACAGAGATGAAAAAACGTTACTTATTATAAAGCTCAAAGACATGAAGAGGCATTTAAGTGTTTCTGCTGATGAATTGTTTTATTGTTTGTATCAACTTTGGTTGATGTCCCGCTTAAGTACCAGTGACATTTGAAAGTTTTTGTTCTCTAAATGATACTTTCTAGATTGGGTGTTTATATAACTGTTTGAATATGTTCATTATTTAAGAGAATAAAAATTTTAGTTCTATGTTATTGGAACTATACTTTCAATGCAAATTCCCTTTGTCGGATTTCAACCTGTGCAAACTTCAGAGCATATGATGGTATGTTGGAATGTGAAGTAAAATTTCAAAGTTTATGTATTCATTATTTTTTTGATTTATCAGAACTGTCATTGTAGAAAATCCAGCCTAATCTGCTTTTTCCTTGACTTTTTGTACTTCTTTAAGTTTTGCTTTTTGAATATTTTATTTTTCGTTTTGGACAATAAAATTTTCTAATACCTAAGAATGTAATTGTTACGTGATATTATTGGGTGGAATCTAACTACTAATAAGGCAGTAGTTGTATAACTAATGCCAAGCTTATTTTTTGTCTTTAGCACTTCATTAATTTATTTCATACTGCTCCTTCATATGCACTTTTAGTTCTGTTAAATTTTTGATTTTTACTTGCTTTTAGGCCTTTGGCGTTTTTGGATTATGTCAGATTATTGCTTTTGCTAACTGGCTGCGGATACGAATGTCGGAAGAGAATTTTCAGTTCCTTTTTCGATCAACTGTTCTATTTGCCGCATGTGCTGTTGCGATGAGTGTCATCGTCGCATCTTATTTAGGAAGTAATTTTTAGAGAGAGATTTTTGTTGAGACGATAGTTTTGTATGATAGTTATTTGGATCACTATCCATTGATTTCATTGCAAGTAAGCTTTGTGACACTCATGTTTTTGTAGTCTGCGCTTTGAACGTCTCTATATTATCAGAAATGAATTCATGTATATTATTCCGCAAATAACATAACTTATTTAGGATTTTTGCTTTTGCTTCCCTTATTTGATATCCTTCAGATTTTTTGACTTTTTACCTCCTCTCTATTATTCGTATATTGTATCACTTTGCTGACCTAACAACAGGGAATGTATAGTCTCTGGAAAAAATAATTGACATTTTCTCATGCAGTTTCATCCATCTTTTAATTAATGTTTTCGTATTTAAGAAATGTGAAAATCGTTTTTTAGAAATCGCTCCTTGGACTGGGCGATTTTATTCATTATTGGATCCATCGTATGCTAAAAACAATATTCCCATCATTGCATCTGTATCTGAACATCAGCCAACGGCATGGAGCTCTTTCTATTTTGACTTGCAAATACTGGTATTTACTTTTCCAGGTACTTAATTTCTTTGTTACAATGCCTCATTTATTATGTTAGCAGCTTTTTGTCGTCGATTCCTTCCAAATAGTTGATAGTGATCGAAATCTAAAAAAATTTTAGAACTGAACAATATCAATTCTTTTTTACCAATAGTTCCGTTTTCAGTTGGATTGTATGTCTGCTTCAAAGAGCTCAATGATCATAACATTTTCATAATACTTTATGCTCTTACAAGCATTTATTTCGCGGTACGTCTTTGTTTCCTAATAATTTTAAGAAAATTTAGCGTTGTTAATTCAACCTTCAATGCTTGTTTAGTTTTAATAATTGTTTTTTTTCTAAATTCACTTATTCAATCAGATTGAAATGAATTGATCGCATCTTGACATTGCTACTAGGAGGATCTTGTTTTTACGAGCATTATCAATAATGAATTCCAAATAAATAATTACTTTCAAGTAGAAATAATATTTCATAGGGTGTCATGGTTCGTTTGATGTTAGTACTGGCTCCAGTAATGTGCATATTAGGTGGTATTGCACTCTCGTCCATATTAATTACGTTTATGAAGAATCTGGATTCGACATCTACGCATGCCAGGCATGATAAAAAAGAAAAAGAGAGAAATTATCCATATAAAAATGAGGTAATTTATCTTTTGAGTCATGGTGTGACCTAATGTGGCGCACACAGTGGAATTGATTCAAAAGTCGGAAATAGTGATTTGGAATGAAACTTTACGAGGCTATAGATCATTAAGCGAATGCGTCAAGTACATTACTGATTAAAATTTATCGTATCATGATGATGAATTGCTTGTTTTAAACTACTTTATGCAATCTCATTCCTTCCCTATTCTTTTTCTCTTTTTT